TATATAGACCTTTGTTGGCAGGGTGATCAGTCTCTGCTTTTTAGTATGCTGTCTAGGTTTGCCATAGCTTTCCTCCCAAGGAGCAAGCATCTTTTAATTTCGTGGCTGCAGTCACCATCTGTGGTAATCTTGGAGCCCAAGAAAATAAAATCTGTCAGTGCCTCCATTGCTTCATCTTCTATTTGCCAAGAAGTAATGGGACCAGATGCCATGATCTTAGTTTATATAATGTTGAGTTTCAAACCAACTTTTGCACTCTCCTCTTTCACTCTCATCAGGAGGCACTTTAGTTCCTCTTCACTTTCTGCCATTAGAGAGGTATTGTTTGCATATCCAAGGTTGTTTTTATTTCTCCTGGCAATTTTAATTCTGGCTTGTCCAGCCCTGCATTTCGCATATAAGTTAAATAAGCAGGGTGACAATATACAGCCTTGTCATACTTTTTTTCCTATTTTGAACTAATCAGTTGTTCCGTGTCTGCTTCTAACTGTTGCTTCTTGACCTGCATACCAGTTTCTCATAAGACAGGTAAAGTAATCAAGGTTACTCCCATCTCTTTAAGAATTTGCTACAGTTTGTTGTTATTCACATAATCAAAGGCTTTAGCATAGCAAAAGCAGATGTTTTTCTGCAATTCCCTTGCTTTCTCCGTAATCCAGCCAATGTTGGCAATTTGATCTCTAGTTCCTCTACCTCTTTCAAACTCACCTTCTACTTCTGGTGGTTCTTGGTTCACATATTGCTGAAGCCTACCTTGTAGGATTTTGAGCTTGAGCTTGCTAGCATGTGAAATGATGGAAAGGAGATACAAAACCCCATTTTCCTGTTTAATTTTATGTCTACTAAGTTTGGGTCAGTCATATTACTGATGGTTCAATCAAAAAGAACCGATGACACATCCCTGCGTCCTAATGTTTCAAACTACTCCAAAGTGGCCCAAATGGTTCCATCAAAAGTTGGGTGCTTTGTTACCAAATCTCATAAATATGACTATATATATCTTTGTTCTGGTGGACTCTCTGCTTTCAGTGACTGAAGAGTAACCAGGCAAGTAATGTCACAAAGGAGTGAGCCTCCCTTTGAGGTTTTAATTCAGGCATTGTCAGCAAGCCAAAACACTTCTAGTTTTGTGCCCCTGGCTTTTGGATTAGTATTAAGCAAGAAATGAACTTAAGCCTCTATTTTTTAAGACTGTTCTTCTCCAAATATATATTTCATGGTCAGCTGTTTTCAAAGGCTCTTCAAACCTGAGCCAATAGTGGTTGCAATGAACTGCTCCCCTTGACTTGTTGGAGCAGATTTTCTATAAAACAACATGGGTGAAAGCATTATTTTTCCACCCTTAAGGAAAGGGCTCGCATGATCAGTTTTGTTTGTGTGATTCTTGTAGTTTCAGGAAATGGCAAGATAGAATTTGAGAATATTCTGGCAATGTCGTGCAGTATTTGCCCTCTCCATTAAACAAACAAATCAAATCAAAATTCACTTTGGTATGAATAAGAAAGTAGTAGTTACATTCAGATAATTTACATTATGTATATAAGCACATCAAGTTAAGATCTGGCACATCAAGTTAAGATCTGGTCATGCTAAGTTTCATTACTGTTAATATGGCTCATTGGTTTATTGGTTTATTGTCCTGTGTGAATACCTTTTCACTCAATGTATTCAAAAATTCAGAAAATGAGATACTTTAGTAATCGTATTGAGTAGGTTTCCTTATGAGAAAATTTTCATGGAAGGTGCCTGTTCGCCCTACCATTTAATTTGCTCTTTTTAATTCTGTAGTGCCAACACCTTCTGGATTTTTGGAATGTGCAGTAAATTTTTGCTTTTAATTGAGAAAAATTGCAGAATGGATATCTACGAATATGGTTTGTGCCCCAACACTCAATGTTTTTCTATCTGAAAACTGCAACATTTTTCTTCACTATATTGATGTAGAATGTCCTGGCATGCTACAAATATATACAATTACTTCTACTTATCTGTTGGAGGCTTAACACATCCGGAGTTGCTTTTTTAGCGGTTGACCAATCTTTCTGTTCTTTGATTGTACTGGAACATGATGTTACAGATAGAAAACAGATTAAAAATAAACAGGTACCAGCCAGCTGTTATGACCTTCTCCCCTAGGCCAATTCTCTTTCCTTCCCCTCCTTTCCCTGATTTTTTTTTTAAAGGTCTGTTTGCATTTCTGCAAATCTCAAAAAATTCTGCTGACTCGCTTCCATCCCTTTGCCTTCCCATACTGCTTTTTATTGTTTTTTTTTAATCACGTCTCTATCCTCTTTCTTTCCATAGAAATAGTTAATAACAAGAGCAAAATAAAAATATAACAGTTATAGTGCAATTAGAAGAAGATAGAATTACAGAGTTGGAAGGGACCTTGTACCGTGTTTCCCCCAAAATAAGACCCTGTCTTATATTTTTTTGAACCCTGAAATAAGCGCTTGGCCTTACTGCCATGCGCTCAAAAGCCCGATTGGGCTTATTATCAGGGGATATCTTATTTTGGGGAAAACCAGGTAGGTCATCCAACCCCCTGCCCAAGCAGGAGACCCTACACCAGAGGTGTCAAACTGGCAGCCCACGGGCCAGATGTGTCATGCATAGGCCATGGCCACCCTAGCTCCGCGAAGGGGGAAACGTCACCAAATGTCACATGATGGCAATGTGATATGGTGAGTTTGACACCCTTGCCCTCCACCATTTCTGACAGGCGGCAGTCCAGTCTCTTCTTGAAAGCTTCCAGTGATGAAGCTCCCACATTAAAGGTACACCAAGACATTTTCAAATGATAACATAAATAATACAGTCATTTTAATACACTGAGAATTTTACTGCTTTCACATTCTGCAGGTAAAAGATAAAATTGAAAAGTATTTAAAATGAATAAAATGTCTAATTATTTTCAGTTCCCAGGATTTAGCTTCTGCCTATGCTGTAATTGTCTGCAATTATAATTGAGACTGTCATTCTCTTGGTGGCCCTGGCGGTTTTTGGTGGCCCCCTGAGGTCAAGTGTAGTTTTTCTACCAAATTGTCATTTTTAAGAAAATAATTTAAAATGTATGGGCAAACACGTTAACTTCACTCAATTTATTTTAGTTCTGATCAAATTAAATCCAAGTGAACTTTTCTGCTAATCGCAGTCATTTCTTTGTGCTGGCCTCATCTATTCTAAGAGGGCAATCCTTCACAAGTACACCTCTATTAATCTTTAAGCAGAAAATTCAGTATCTATCAAGTTTCCTGTCCCCCAGTGCTATGAATGGCTATGACCCAACTATTACTTTGGTAAGGAATCTATGAATCTACCATGGTTTCTAACCTGTAGTTTTCTGCTATCCCAATGCAACTCACCTGAGTTTTGCCCTAATTTTATCTTCACCTTTCAGTTGAATTAGGCTAAGGCCACAGTTACCTGCTGACCCCTAAGCCTAGGTCTCCCTGGTCCCTTAAGCTCTCCTTAAGAGTGCTTTATGTAGGTGGGACTTTGTGTAGGGGCCCTTTAGCAGAACTGGGATAGGGTGAGGCATCCATCCTTGGGCTCCTTGATTTCTCATCAATCTTCAGTTCTGTTCACTATGGTATCCTTCTAGGCCAGAGGTCTTCAAACTTGGCAGCTTTAAGACTTGTGGACTTCAACTCCCAGAATTCTCCAGCTGGCTGGAGAATTCTGGGAGTTGAAGTCCACAAGTCTTAAAGATGTCAAATTTGAAGACTTCTGTTCTAGGTTGACAGTAGGAGTTGGGACTGGGCATATTGCAGTAGTTTAGTTCCTTCTTCAGTGGTTGTTTCCAGGTGGTGTCGATGAGAATGGAGAGATTGCACCTGAATCCCCACATTTATGGAATATCTCAGGGCTGCATCCTCACCACCTCTTGTTTAATATCTACTGTACGCTGGGTAAGACCATCCATCATTTGAACTCCAGTCTGACAGGGAAAGTTTCCAGTGTACTAGCCCAGTGTCTGGAAGCTGTTCAGGTCTGGACATTTTGACCGTTGATCTTGTGTGGGGTTTTATTTCCCCATTCAAGATTGGCATAAAACTTGGGGGTCCTTCTGAATGCAAAGCTACTGCTCAATGAGCAAGTGGAAGCTGTGTCTAGAATTTGCACAGTACATTTTGTGCATCTTTTTTTAACCAGATTATTTCACAAGTGGATTTGTCAAGTGCAGAAAATCAGGAGTCAAGGCAGTTCAAATTAATACAGGTTTATTGCATGCCAACACTCTCTACAAGAATCTGAACTACTAATGGTCAAGCAAATTGGTGGTAGATAAGAGTCAATGGAATTTAAAGTATGCTGGATTCAGATCTCTTGTGGGCACAAAAGGACTCAAGACTGATGATGTGCTTGAACTCTCCTTTGGGCTCAGCGTAGTCATCTCCTACAGGACTATTGCAATACACTTGTGGCTGCCATTGAAGATCATCCAAATGCTACAGCTGATTCAAAATGCAGCAGTGTGCGTGGTAATGAGCATGTCTCATTGCTATAAAATCCTTAACAGCGGAGGACCTGGTTAACTGAAGGTCCATCTATCTTCAATAGTTTCTGCATCAGGCAGGTGGATACATTCTAGGTCCCCTCAATTAAACCTCATCTTGTGGGACTAAGGATGTATGTTTTCTCTATCAGTACCTTTTCAGGTTGTTAGAATTGGAATAGAGAGAGGACTTTCTGGACAGTCTCATAAAACTATGACCAGTAATGAACCACCCAAAACTGCTGAAATTGTTCCCACCTTTACCTCCAGCTTTCTGGAATATTCTCTAGCTTCCATTTTCTGGGTAGGGGAGCACATTTCCCCAGAGGTAGAATCTCCAATTATTTTTAATTTTCTAACAGTAACTCCAGGCTTAGAAAGCATCTATTCCTAGTGAAGTCAGATTGGTGACACGTGTCTCAGGTATTTGCAGTTTGGATTATTGTAATGTACTGTGCTTAAGTCTACTGTGAAGAGACTTCAGATACAACCAGTCTTCTTTTAAAAATATCATTTTATTAAACCTATCAGAGTATAAAATACAAATGAACATGAAAATAATGGGAAAGGGGGAAAGGGGGATATGTAGGATGAAGAGGAAAAAGAGGCAGAAAGCAATAACTTCCAACTCTTCTCAGTGCAGTAGAAATAACACAATAATATTATAGAATCTCAACTTTTTTAAAAAAAGAAAAAGAAATGCAATTAGTCTGAAATGCGGTTCTGAGACTCCTGGTGGCCTCTTGTGGACAGGACTATATTACACTGCCTTGGTTCAAAATATTAGCATTGGAAGGGACCTTGGACCAGATTGGAGGTTCACACCAGACTGAATTAAATCGCAAGGAAGAAAACAGATCATCTGTCAGGCTCTTTCCAAATGGGAAGTGTAAGCAGTCAAGGAAGCTTCTGAACGAACAAAAAATAGGTAGCACTATTTACTTTATTGTGCTTAGCTATACTATGGTATGCTATGCCATACTATTATACAGCTGCCTATCTCGTATATTGATTCTAGGCAGTTCACATCAATTCATAAAAACAAAGATTAAAAACATAATATTCTTCCCCCTCCCCCAGGTGCCAGATCAAACAGCCTTCCTGTTCAATTCCTTCAACACCACCAGTGTTAACACCCTCTTTAAAGATAAAGGTAAAGGTTCCCCTCGCACATATGTGCTAGTTGTTCCTGACTCTAGGGGGCGGTGCTCATCTCTGTTTCAAAGCCGAAGAGACAGCGCTGTCCGAAGACGTCTCCGTGGTCATGTGGCCGGCATGACTAAATGCCAAAGGTGCACAGAATGCTGTTACCGTCCCACCAAAGGTGGTCCCTATTTTTCTACTTGCATTTTTTATGTGCTTTTGAACTGCTAGGTTGGCAGAAGCTGGGACAAGTAACGGGAGCTCACCCCGTTATGCGGCACTAGGGATTTGAACCGCTGAACTGCCGACCTTTCGATCGACAAGCTCAGTGTCTTAGCCACTGAGCCACCACATCCCTAACACCCTCTTTACCACCTTTGATAATAATGTTTCAGAAAGATCAACAGGAAAACCCCCTTGGAGCCGTTACATTTTTACATAAGAAGAAATGTTATAAAAGGGATTTATTATTGAACAAACTATCCCAACATATAAAATCTAGCATTGCAAAGGATGACTAATAGGCACTTGCTTGTCTGTGTTACCTGTTAACCAACTTCTAGTCTGTAGCAAATTTTGCACAAGTAGAAGAATCCCACTTTTTAAACAAACAGCCTTCTGCAAACATAAATCAAATCACAAAACGGATGTTGTCCCTTCTCTGCTAAAATTGCCATCTACGTTTTTAAAATCTGGAAGTGTTTTTGTGCTGAGAAACACTGAAATACTCTGGATACTTTTCAGAGCATATTTCTTAGTATATATATTTTAAAAAATACCTCATTTTCAGATGAATTGAGCTGAGTACAGGGCAAGAGCAGTCATCATTTGCGGTAGATTTTCCTAAGAGGGTCAAATATAAATCCCATGTCATCCAGGAGATTGCTAGGGAGGCTGTTTTTCTCATCTTCTGGAACAAGCAGGGACAATAAAGATTTGCTTTTCTCCAACGTTCCTTCTTCTGCATAAATATGAGGCATGTAAGAAACCATGTTGTCCTCCAGCTTGTTGATTTGCTTACATTTCTAAGAAAGAAAGAAAATTCAGTCTTACTCCTTACTTACACCTATATTTAGGAATATTTAAGGTCCAAGGAGGCATTTTAAAGAGGTTCCCAATATAGTATTGTAGGAAGTTAGCACCCAGCCCTCCTAGAAGAATGAAATATTTTAGGAAATATTAAAAAAGGCAGAATATTATATTTCCCCCAAAAGAGAAATAGAAATCTTAAGGTAAACAGAAACTCAGAGCTTCAACTCCCTGCCCCCAGCAGATATTTGCTGCCCATTGAGAAGGACTGGGCCAGCCTATCTACAAAACAAAAGACCTTCAGCTCGAGGGTGATGGGATCAGGGGTGCTATTCAGCAGGTTCTTACAGGTTCTGGAGAACCGGTAGCGGAAATTTTGAGTAGTTCGGAGAGCCGGCAAATACCACCTTTGGCTGGCCTCAGAGTGGGGTGGGAATGGAGATTTTGCAATATCCTTCCCCCAGGAGTGGCGAGGGAATGGGGATTTTGCAGTATCCTTCCCCTGCCACGCCCACCAAGCCACGCCCACAGAACCGGTAGTAAAAAAAATGTGAATTCCACCACTGGATGGGATTAAGATATGACCTTCCAGGACATAATAGGATTATCTAGCAGCAGGGCTCACTGCATTATAAAATCACCTGGAGACATTGCATCATCACCCTACAGGCTTCGACCAAACTTGATTTAGACAAACATGGCCCCATGGGAGTCTGACTACAGCCAATAGAATACATTTCTTGCACAGGAACAGGAAGCTCAAGGGCAAAGCCCAAGGGAGGGTATAAATAACCCTCACTCTTCACTCCACGTGGTCAACTGAACCAGGACCATGTGCTTGATGGTTCTGCTTCATTAAACCTTCTTTCCAATCAGCCTCCATGTTTCCAGTGTCTTTCTCCCCACTTGGAACTGAACCAGATGGACATTTCTTCCAACAGTATGGTGAGGAAGTGAAGCTGAGATTGCTGACTGCATGGCAAGAAAAACAGCTGCAACCCAGCAGAAATACTTCTGCCCCATACTTCCTTATGATTCAGCACAGCTCATATTTTCTCCCAGAAACTTAAGAGGAGAATCATTCATTCATTCTTCTTTCTTTCTCTTTCTTTCTTCTCTTCTTCTTTCTTTCTTTCTTCCTTCCTTCTTTCTCTTCTTCTTTCTTCTCTTCCTTCCTTCCTTTCTTTCTTTTCTTCTTTCTTTCTTCTTCTTCTCTTCTTCTTTCTTCCTTCTTTCTTCCTTCCTTCTTCTTTCCTCTCTCTTTCTTTCTTCCTTCTTCTTCTTCTTCTTCTTTCTTTCTTTCTTTTTCTTCTTTTCTTTCTTCTTCTTCTTTTTTCTTCTTTCTTTCTTTCCTCTTTCTTTCTTTCCCTTCCTTCCTTCCTTCTTTCCCATCTCTTCTCTCTTTCTTTCTTTCTTTCTTTTTCTTTCTTTCTTTCTGCTACTGACAGTTTACACCCAAGCATCCATACGAGAGTTCCAGGTCTCTGGCTAATTTAACCACTCCATAGAATTGTCATTTTTTCAGAGCCTGGAAAAAAAATCGCTCCCCATATTTGGGGGTGGGGGAAAGGGGGGGCTCAGGGAAATCACTAGGAAATCTCAAGTCTGTAGGATGAACCCTGGCTCAACGCAAGTATTTAGAAAAGGGAATCCGCAGTTTGCCCTCCAGTTGCTTACTTGTTTCAAGGTAGCAGCCACTGTTTCCAAAAAGTTCTCAGATGCTTTTATGTTGCAATTTTGCCAAAAGTTCACCTACAGAAAGGAAAGGGGGGGGTGGAGAGAGAGGTTCACAGTCATCCTCAAAATCCATCCAGAAAGTCTTTCCACTTTAAACATATATTTAGCTAACATTCTCAACCAATGCATCCAAAACTATTAGAAACTATAGGAGATTTATTTATGTAATACAGAGGGGAACAATGTCTTGATTCCCCCCCACTTCCCGAGACCCCCAAGAACCTGCTCCAATTTGGCAAATTCAGTTTGCCCAACTCTAGGCCATCTTGAGACAAAAAAACATTCAAACTGTAGCTTAGGCTTAGCTGTTTTTAAAACAAAATCAACTCACCCAGTACAGCCAGCTCCGTTTCCCTTCCGTAATGTTGTCCCGCCTTCTTTGAAACTCCTAAGGACTCAAAATTTTTTACTGTTATTAATATTATTATTTTCCTCCTCATCCATCAATAAGTTTCCAATTCAAATGGTAATCTAACCTTTTTCAAAGGTTCAGTTGTGTTACGGTTCAAGGGGTAAATTAAAGGTGAACCTGCAGGAGGATCCACAGTTGATTGTATAAATTTCATGTCTGTCACACCAGGGTCATCCTTTATGGGAAAGTAAGGAAATGCAAGGCTTAAATTATAGATTATATAAATATATATATAAATATATATATAAATATATATATATATATATATATATATATATGTTTTTCTTCTAGCCAGGTTTTCCCTATGTAACCAAGGTTTTTTGTAGCTCCAGCTCAGTAGAATCACATCCACTCGATTCTGGGCTTTTTTCTTTTCTAACAGCTAGCAAGCTCTTACTGCTAGGTGGGAGACCCAAATAGATCCATTTCTAGCTCGTTTGCTTTCATCAGTAGGCCACACCCATATCTTATGTATCCTCCCTGTAAAGGTACAATATCAATTTTCTTACTTCTTCGTAGGGTTTATGTGTGTTTTTCTTAGAAAAGAAAAGAAAAGAAAAAAGCCCAGAATCGAGTGGATGTGATTCTACTGAGCTGGATCTACAAAAACCTTGGTTACATAGGGAAAACCTGGCTAGAAGAAAAACACACATAAACCCTACGAAGAAGTAAGAAAATTGATATAAATATATATATATATATATATATATATATATTATATATATAAATTAAGTATATTGTTTCCTTATTATATTTATCTATTGTAATACCTAGTAAGAAAAGTTCTGGCTTTTAATTCTATATTTTGCATTAGCATTTCGTCCAGCCATTGCTTTATCCAGTGCCAAAAGTCTCTGGTTTTGGGGCATTCCCATCAGATATGATAAAAGGTCCCTAACTCCACCTCACATTTCCAACACATTGGTGAATAATTTTTGCTCATTTTGGCTAGTCTTGTAGGTGGGGGATGCCACCTATAGAACATCTTGTATAAATTTTCTTATACATAGTAGTTAAAGTCAGGTCTGCCTGATTCGCCAGTTGCGTCCCTTTCTGGATCGGGACTCATTAAATACGGTCACTCATGCTCTCGTCACTTCCCGCCTGGACTACTGCAATGCTCTCTACATGGGGCTCCCCTTGAGGAGCACCCGGAGGCTCCAGCTGGTCCAGAACGCGGCCGCGTGGGTGGTTATGGGAGCGACATGGCGCTCCCATGTGACCCCCCTCCTGCGCGAGCTGCACTGGTTCCCGGTGGTCTTCCGGGTGCGCTTCAACGTTTTGGTTACCACCTTTAGAGCGCTCCATGGCATCAGACTGGGGTATTTACGAGAACACCTTCTGCTACCAATAGCCTCTCACCGACCAGTACACTCCCATAGAGAGGGGCTTCTCAGGGTGCCGTTGGCCAAACAGTGTCGACTGGCGGCCCCCAGGGGGAGAGCCTTCTCTGTGGTGGCACCTACCATCTGGAACGAGCTCCCCCCAGAGATACGGAGGATCCCGGACCTGCGCACGTTTCGGCGTGCTCTCAAAACTTTTTTGTTTCAGCAGGCTGGCCTGGCCTAACTCTCCTTTTTTAAATTTTTAATTCGTTTGATTTTATAAATTGGGTGTTTTAATCTGTGTTTCGGCCAAAATATTTAATAATTTTAAGGGACTTTTAATATTTGTATTATCTGCATTTTATCTTGGCTGTTCACACGCCCTGAGTCCTCCGGGAGTAGGGCGGTATAGAAATTTGATAAATAAATAAATAAATAAATAAATAAATAAATAAATAAATAAATAAATAAATAAATAAATAAATAAAGTTTTCTGTTCCTTTCCCATAGATCCTGCCAATTATTTAAGTCAATGCTATAGCCAAAATTATTGCTCCATTTTAACATGGTTTCCTTCACTTGTTCTTCAAACATAGCCTGCTCCAGTAGATATTGATATATTTTTCTAATCACTTTTTCCTCTGAACCTAATAAAATTCGATCAAATTCAGTTTCTTATTAGCTGTCCACATTTTAGATGAATCTCTGTCTAGCTCCAATTTGGCAAATTCAGTTTGCCCAACTCTAGGCCATCTTGAGACAAAAAAACATTCAAACTGTAGCTTAGGCTTAGCTGTTTTTAAAACAAAATCAACTCACCCAGTACAGCCAGCTCCGTTTCCCTTCCGTAATGTTGTCCCGCCTTCTTTGAAACTCCTAAGGACTCAAAATTTTTTACTGTTATTAATATTATTATTTTCCTCCTCATCCATCAATAAGTTTCCAATTCAAATGGTTATCTAACCTTTTTCAAAGATTCAGTTGTGTTACGGTTCAAGGGGTAAATTAAAGGTGAACCTGCAGGAGGATCCACAGTTGATTGTATAAATTTCATGTCTGTCACACCAGGGTCATCCTTTATGGGAAAGTAAGGAAATGCAAGGCTTAAATTATAGAACACTGTTTAATGCTTGGATATTTTGTGATCTAGAATCATTGGAAGAGAGCAAGTTTGGTCCAGGGGTTTAGGCATCAGGCTGGAAACTGGGAGACCATGAGTTTCAGTCACCCTTAACTACAAAGCCAGCTGGGTGGCCTTGGGCCAGTCAATTTCCCTCGGCCCTAATCAGGATGCAATGGCAACCTCCTCCTCTCCTCTGTGTGTGTGTGTGTGAGAGAGAGAGAGAGGCAGAGACAGAGACAGAGACAGAGAGACATATACACAGAGAGAGACAGACAGACAGAGAGACAGAGAGAGAGAGAGAGAGAGAGAGAGAGGAAGAGACACAGAGACAGAGAGAATGAATGAATGAATGAATGAATGAATGAATGAGGATAAACCATCCTTAGATACAACTGCAAAATTAAAAGAATTACCATATTTTTCGCAGTATAAGACGCACCGGAGTATAAGACGCACTTACCTTTTTTGGGTATTTTTTTTTAAAAAGTTTTTTTTTATTTTTTAGACAAACACACATACAAACATACAATGTATTTTCTTTGAACAGAGTATTTGGCTGGTTCACAAATTTAAACAGTGTTTAGTCATTTCAATTAAATTTACAATTTCTATATTTCCTTTTTGCCATATTTATTCCTCATCTATTTTTTAAAAAACCAATATTACCCTTCATTTTCATCTCTAATCTTAATCAAATTCAATTTTTCCCTTCTATTCTATATTATACCCCTTCCCATTGTCTTCTATTTTTATATCCTTCCTCACATTGGTTAATTATGTAATATTACAATAGTTTAATACAAATTCAACATTTTAATATAAATCAATCAATTATTTATTTATTTATTTATTGGTTCGATTTATATGCCACCCTTTCTCTGGAGACTCAGGGCGGCTTACAATGAGTTAAGCAATAGCCTTCATACTTTTGTATATACCTGCTTAGTAGGCCTTTCGGCCCCCCAAGCGGTGTTCTTTTTTATACAAAGTCAGCTTATTGCCCCCCCCAATCCGGGTCTCCATTTTACCTACCTCGAAAGGATGGAAGGCTGAGTCAACCTTGAGCCTGGTGAGATTTGAACTTGCAGTAATTGCAGGCAGCTGGTGCTACTTAACAGCACTTTAGTCTGCTGCGCTACCAAGGCTCTTATATAACTATATTTTTTGTACATTAATCAATATGAACAGGAATATTCCAATTATTTCCATGCAATCCAATTTCTTACAAATCAATTAATTATATTTACCAATAATAATAAACCAAATAATTTCCCCTCTTATGTTACTCATTTTCACATCTTAAACTCTCCCAATAACCCACATAGTTTTGCCCATATAATCCTCCAAATCACAACTTAATCATTTCTACTTTCATCACAATATATAATTAAAAATATTTCAATCATTAGAATTTCCCTAATTAAATTTAAAAATATTCTAGCTGTTATCCAAGCTTCAATTTAATCCTTTTTTACTTTCACCACCATATACCATTAAAGGTATTTCAATTGTTACAGTTTATACTTATTCATATTTCTAAAAAAAATAAAAAAAATAAAAACTTATCATTGTCTAGATTTCAAAAATACAAAGACAAATATTCCAATTATTATTCATTTTATTTTTACAATCATGATTTCTCATTTATTTCTTACTACTATTCATATTTCAATTCTAAATATGTATAACATTTTTCTCTTTCATTTCTTTTTCTCCCTTCCCATTTTTATTTTTGACTTTTTCGTTCTCCTTTTTTTTCTTTTGTGTTTAAAATCTTGAACTCTCCTCTTTTGCCCTAAATTTCCCATTGTTTGTACCTACCTTTTTTGGTGAGGAAAAAGAAGAAAAAGAAATCTCCCTGTGTCTCTGCCTAATTTTGCCTTGCTGCAGCAAACAGCAAACAGCCTGCTTTACTTTCAGTTTTGTTTTCAGCATAGCTTGATTAGCACAAGGAAAAAAAAATCTGCTCCAGCAATTTAGCTCTTTGCAGCAAGCAGAAGAGCCCTGCGCAAAACAGCTGAGAGCAAATCAGCTGAGAGTCGGGAGGCGATATAATCAACTTGTGCTAATTAGTCTATCCTGAAGCTGAAAGGAGCTGTTTTGTCTTGCTGTTTGCTTGCAAGGAGGTAACTGCTGCAAGGCAGAGGCCAAAGGGTGGGGGCCATTGGGTGGGCAGGGCTACATTCGGTGTATAAGACGCACCTAAATTTTCACCCCCTTTTGGGGGGTAAAAAGGTGCATCTTGTACTCCAAAAAATACGGTATTCTATAAGAAATAATTTCAATTCTGGTATACTTGTGCTTAGTGGTAGGTGAATTAAAGCTTCTGGCCTCACATCCTTGTAGCTTCTCTGTCAAAAATATTAGAACCTACCCATGTCTGGCCATAAACCATTTTAAATGGTAAACAAGTAGTCATATGCAAACATAATTGAAGGTGTAAAGTTATCCTGAGTTATTAAATGATCTTGGCCAGATTGATTTTACTAACTTGAAGTATGTCAAACCATTTTTTAACAAGATTGAGTGTTGAACAAACTGTGGGAAGGGGACACTGGTGTTTGGAGGAGTATTGTCATAAAACAAGTCATATTTTAGAAATGACTATTGTAAGAAGAGGTGCCAGAGATTATTCAAATCAAATATAGCTGTGATGCAACTATCCCTTTCCTTACTAATATTGATACAAAAGTGTAAGTATGAAATCACCCCACTCGTTTCATTCTGGCTGCTGCACATCACCTCTTATTTTGGATAATCTCTGTTGGATCATCTGAAGGAAGTGCGACACTTTATTCCAATTACCTTAATTATTTGTTTTTCGTCCAAACTGTTTTTATACAATGAGGGTGGTGTTGCATGGTTTCCCAGGCCAGCTGCATTCTAAAAGTGACAAAGAAGCAGAAAAAGAAAGTCTCTTTGGATAGTTGCAATTGACAAAACATTAACATCTGGAAGACTTGAACTAATACTTGCTTTGGCATAAGTTCTAATGAACTCACTGAAACCTCCTTTAGAGTACCATGCACAGGCTTATGCTAGAAATCGAGGATCCTGTCCCTAAAATATCACAGAAAGTAGCCAATGATATTATTTCTCACCAAAACAGGTTCACTCTCCTCCTTGTAGTCAATCAGGGACTGGTTGCCGAGTTCATATGGAATGAATGTAGGCTTTTTCTTCACTTTAACGATACAGAAATACAATAACAGAATACTCAGCCCACTACATAAAAGGAAAGGGGAAAAGGAATATTGTCACCAACTTTCCACAACATCTTTCTCTCTTTAATTAAGGTTTTTTTTTTATTAATAACATAATTAAAAACATTGGACATGGTTTGACATTTCCGGTTTAGACATTTCCATCAAATTTTACCTTACAACTAATACAATTCCTTTATGTTATACAAATATATACCTTCTTTCACAATTCAAACACGAAAATTCGTACATCTATAGAACTTACATCCATAACAGTTTCATTCCTATCTCTTTAAAGAAACTAACATATAGATTTCTAAACTTTCAACTCATCAGTAATCCTTTATCCTGGCAATCTTCCTCCTCTCCAACCAATAGTATACTTTATTCCAGATTTTGTAGTATTCTGTTTCGCTCTTATCTTTGAGATCCAATGTCAACCTGTCCTTTTCAGTACAAGTTAATATCTTAGCTACTACTTCTTCCTCTGAGGGGATTTCTTTATTTTTCCAGTTTTGTGCAAAGGCCAGTCTTGATGCCGTTAGAATATGTAACATTAAGTATATTGTTTCCTTATTATATTTATCTATTGTAATACCTAGTAAGAAAAGTTCTGGCTTTTAATTCTATATTTTGCATTAGCATTTCCTCCAGCCATTGCTTTATCCAGTGCCAAAAGTCTCTGGTTTTTGGGCATTCCCACCAGATATGATAAAAGGTCCCTAACTCCATCCTCACATTTCCAACACATTGGTGAATAATTTTTGCTCATTTTGGCTAGTCTTGTAGGTGGGGGATGCCACCTATAGAACATCTTGTATAAATTTTCTTTATACATAGTAGTTAAAGTCAAGTCCACCTGATTCGCCAGTTGCGTTCCTTTCTGGATCGGGACTCATTAAATACGGTCACTCATGCTCTCGTCACTTCCCGCCTGGACTACTGCAATGCTCTCTACATGGGGCTCCCCTTGAGGAGCACCCGGGGGCTCCAGCTGGTCCAGAACGCGGCCGCACAGGTGGTTATGGGAGCAACGTGGCGCTCCCATGTGACCCCCCCTCCTGCGCGAGCTGCACTGGCTCCCGGTGGTCTTCCGGGTGTGCTTCAACGTTTTGGTTACCACCTTTAGAGCACTCCATGGCATCAGACTGGGGTATTTACGAGACCGCCTTCTGCTACCAATAGCCTCTCACCGACCAGTACACTCCCATAAAGAGGGGCTTCTCAGGGTGCTGTCGGCCAAACAGTGTCGACTGGCGGCCCCCAGGGGGAGAGCCTTCTCTGTGGCGGCACCTACCATCTGGAACGAGCTCCCCCCAGAGATACGGAGGATCCCGGACCTACGCACGTTTCGGCGTGCTCTCAAACTTTTTTGTTTCAGCAGGCTGGCCTGGCCTAACTCTCCTTTTTTAAATTTTTAATTCGTTTGATTTTATAAATTGGGTGTTTTAATCTGTGTTTCGGCCAAAATATTTAATAATTTTAAGGGACTTTTAATATTTGTATTATCTGTATTTTATCTTGGCTGTTTCACCGCCCTGAGTCCTCCGGGAGTAGGGCAGTATAGAAATTTGATAAATAAATAAATAAATAAATAAATAAAATAAATAATAAATAATATAAATAAATAAAGTTTTCTGTTCCTTTCCCATAGATCCTGCCAATTATTTAAGTCAATGCTATAGTCAAAATTATTGCTCCGTTTTAACATGGTTTCCTTCACTTGTTCTTCAAACATAGCCTGCTCCAGTAGATATTGATATATTTTTCTAATCACTTTTTCCTCTGAACCTAATAAAATTCGATCAAATCAGTTTCTTATTAGCTGTCCACATTTTAGATGAATCTCTGTCTAGCAGGATAGTTTCAGCTGAAGGTTTTTCTTGGGCCATTCCTTTGTTTTCCTGCCTTTTCTTCCAATTCTTTTTCTTACCATAAATATACATATGGGAATTGAGGGTGGGGAAGGCAGAATAGCTGCCTTTTGATTGCTAGTTCCTTGGAACCATGGAAGAATGGTGGACCAAACCATTTCATACAAGGGTAGCACGGCATGTTTAGGCTGACGGCCCTTGTCAGTGGTTGCATCCAGGAAAGAGAAAGTAGTTGCTTTCAGATGGCATGGTGTAAGCACACACTGCTCATGTACAATATTTACTTGGTTTAAGAGCTATAATCAGCCAATAGCATAACCAAAATAGATGATTCTCAGACAATTCAGAAATTTCATTCCAAGGATATAAAGCAACAATCTGGCCTACTATACATTATAATGAAAATGCCAACAAAGAGGGTTGGAGAGCCATTTGACTGTATTCTTGATGTATTTTGACTAAAATTTTCCAATAATATGGTTTATTTGCTTTTAGCCTAACATGTACTGTGAACCCGGGCATTATAATTTCTAAGCCATAGGTTAAGGTCCAACATAAGAGTTGGAGCCAGCCACTTATGGGTTATCCAGCAAACCAGTTAAACAAACTGTGATTTAATGTGATCCATGAAACAATCCTACCCAATGAGCAAAGAATGCCAACTTCAGTATGGGAACAAATATTGGAATTGCAGTGATTGTATTGACCATGATATGATAGCATTTTTCATGAACCGATGGTGTCACTGGAGTGGGCTTGTGGGAATCAAGTAGAAAACATGTATTAAATTAAGTCTCTCTGCACAATTATGGATTTTATATCCATACCAGGAAGAAGAAACTTTCACAAAGTTCTATATTTTCACCTAACTGGAAAGAATCCTTAGGAAACGTAGATTAAGTAAAATAATAAAGATGGGTTCCATTAATCTTGACCAGTTGTATAGAAAATGATATCTGGATCTTGGTTCCTTTAGAATCAGTAAACCTACTTGTGGAACGTCAATATTTGCTCATCCTGGCTTGCTTCAAAATCACACCCCTATGTCACATGACAATCCATATAAAAGCCTGGGTTAAGCCATAAGTGGGCTGGTTTATTTTTAGCTTTACATGAGTATCAATTCATTATTGAATTGATGTTCATCTATTGTACTAGAATTATGTAAATTTTAATCAAGGTCATTACTGTTTGCTCAAAAAGCCAGGTTTTAAAACTTCTGGTTTACAATTATGTAAACTCAGACAAGATCTATTTAATATCTCATGCTACCTCTTTATAGCTCTGCAACAACTCAAAACCAGCCTACAAAATGATTCTAAGAATAATATTGGATACGAATCTTGGTATATAAGATTAGAGCGTAAAACTAAACTATAATCAAATAAGTGACGGGTTCTACTTTACACATTATAATGATTACAATTCAGTGGTGGAATTCAATTTTTTTTACTATCGGTTCTGTGGGTGTGGCTTGGTGGGCATGGTATGGCTTGGTGGGTGTGGCTTGGTGGGCATGGCAGGGGAAGGATACTGCAAAATCTCCATTCCCACTCCACTCCAGGGGAAGGATATTGCAAAATCCCCATTCCCTCCCCACTAATGGGGGAAAGATATTGCAAAATCTCCATTCCCACCCCACTCTGAGGCCAGCCAAAGGTGGTATTTGCCAGTTCTCTGAACTATTCAAAATTTCCACTACTGGTTCTCCAGAACCTGTCAGAACCTGCTGAATAGCACCCCTGTTACAATTCCCCTGGAATCTGACTGACTGAGATTAAATTTGATGGTGGATGTGATCTGATTATTCCTAACAATGGGAATGGCTAAACAAAGTAAAGAATACTGATTTGTGTAGGCTTTGTCTAAACCATGATTTCTGCCTTACTGCACTCCCACATTAGGATAACAAGTCAAGATTATTCTGATTTTACTATCTAGAGTTTTAAGAAAACAGGTTATCAGAGATCCTATTTGGAGTTCACCATGAACCAAAATGCAAATGAAAGCTTTGAGGGTTGTTTAGTTTACGGTGAATACGGTGAACTACATAAATCAAAATAACCATTGGATGGTCCAAACATGTGCCAAAGACTGTCTTGCTTTCCCTCTAGTGACCATCTGGACTTTTGTTGATCAGATCTAGTAGTCCTAGTTAATTGTTATAGCTTGGTGGTCTCTTAAGAGAGTGATTAGCATGATACTTCAAGGTATTAATTCAATCGCAATAATCCTGAATTCATAAAAATTGGTACTTATTTTGTGCTTGAAGCAGCCATAGGTTTAACTGTGTCATTAATAGATTTCTAAACATTCACTTTTAGGTAAGACACACTGACTTAAGTGAGTTATTCCATAACCAAAGCATCATAACTCAAAGGTGCTGGTAAGGGAGAACTTGATGCAGCCCCTCCCCCCCCTCCCCGGTGTTGACATCCAGAAGAGACAGCATCATTCAGGTCTTTCAGAAAAGTTAAAGGCCGGATTTTGAGTTAAAGTAGATGCATAACACACAACAATTACAAAATGGCACAAGATTTTCTAGTAAGCAATATATAAACACATTACTCACATATCAGTAACAGAAATATAATCACAATTATGCCAATTACTCCTCCCAATGGAAGAGTGCTGGGCTCCACGATGGCCATATTTGTGATGTCACATTTGATCCCATCTAGACAAGAGCATACTTGGACATTCAGAGTCTGTTGCCTAAAAACCCCTTGTAAGTCTCGTATACGGAGAGGCACCAAGTAATCGCCAGGAGAGTGATTTTTCAGCATAAAAAGTTGAACCGAGTTACCTACAAAACAGGAAAGAAACAAAAACATCCATCATTCTCCAACGATCACATCCTTGCTAAGATTATTGTGCTAATATTGCAATAAAGACTAGCAGCTTGATGCATTTCAAGTGCTACCCACAGGAGTGAGAATACTTTTAAATGTTCGGAGCTGGTTGAGTTTTTTTAATAAAAGTTCCAGAGAAAACTCCTACAAGTTGGATTAGCTGTCCAGCCTGCCTTGAATACTTCTGAAGAAATGAATTCTAACATCCACTGCTTAGAAGCCTTTAATGCAGAGGTGTCAAACTCACATCGTTAACGGTGTCATCATGTGACGTATCGAGACTTTTTTTTCCCCTTTGCTAAACCGGGCGTAGGCATGGCCAACATGTAACACATCCAGCCGGGAGTTTGACAGCCCTGCTTTAATGGGACTACTGACATAATAGCAAAGAAAAGGAATAAACATTATTAAAAATTGTACCATACATTAAATCTTTAAAGTGATTCATCCCAGTGTCCCATTCTTTCCTACGTACTTTGAAGACTCATAGAATCATAGAATATCAGAGTTGAAAAGCACCTGGGAGGTCTTCTAATCCAATCCTCTGCTCAAGCAGGGGATCCTACACCAATTCAGACTGGTAGCTGTCCAGTCTCCTCTTAAGAGCTTCCAGCGATGGAGTACCTACCACTTCTGAAGGCAGGATGTTCCATTGGTTAATTGTTCTGTCAGGAAATTTCTCCTTAGCACTAGGTTGGAGAAACTTCTAGGTCTCTTTGATTAGTTCTATCTGGTGCTTTAGAAAATAGGTTCACCTTCTGGTGCTTTGTAAAATAGGGTATCCTCCCCCCCCCTTTCTTTGTGGCAGTCTCTTAAATATTGGAACATTACTATCATGTTTCTCCTGGTCCTTCTTTTCAGTAGATTAACCTTACCCTATTCGTGCCACCATTCATCATATGTTTTGATCTCCAGGCTCCTAATCATCTTTGTTGCTGTTCTCTACACTTTTTCCAGAGTCTCAAAATCTTTTTTATAATATGGTGACCCAAACTGAATGCAGTATTCCAAGTGTGATCTTACTAACTCCTTAATTACTTTGGGAACTCCTTAATTCCCAAAGGAAATTAAATGTCCAAAAGAGGACCATGTATAATTGAGTGCCAGGATTCTCTTAAGATGTAAAAAGGAGCCTCATGAGATCCATCACATAATGTCACATGCATATATAAAAGAAGCTGAAATTTCCAGCAAATAACAACTTCTTGTGAAATTTCAGTTCCACGCACAAGAACATGGAAGGCTGATGTAATGTTCTGTGGTTTTACAAGATCACAAGTTTCTGGTGGACATTTCTTTATCACACTTTGAGTAGTCAGGGAGCATCTTGGAATAGTCATAGGTTCCTGAGCTCAGGAATATGTCCATACAGCAACTCTCCTCTGCCTGATATACAGTACAGTCTACAGGTCTGATGTTTACTATTTTTTAACCCATCCTTCCTGATCAAATCAAACAAGGACTCCTATGGGAAACAAAACTGTGAGTCTAGCTCAGTGATAGCTAACCTTTTTGTCATCGTGTGCCGGGGGGGGTCGCATGTGTGCGTGCCCACACCCATAATGTGCTCCGCCCCCGTGCATGCACGTGTGACCCCCCCGCTCCCCCCACTCCTGGCACACGATGGCCCGGTAGGCCCGTTTTTCTCTCTCACCTGACTCCAGAACCTCTCTAGGAGTATGGGGAGGGCAAAAACGGCCTTCCCCATCCCCCCGGAGGTCCTCCGGAGGCCAGAAACGGCTGGTTTACCAACTTCCTGTGGGACCAGAAGTTGGCAAACAGGCCATTTTCACCCTCTGGAGGACCTCCGGGGGGGGTGGGGAAGGCCGTTTTCGCGCTCCCCAGACTCCTAGAGGGGCTCTGGAGGCTGGGGAAAGCAAAAAACAGGCCTTCCAATCCCACCAGAAGTTGGCAAATGGGCCGTTTCTGGCCTCTGGAGGGCCTCCGGGAGGGTGGGGAAGGCCGTTTTCACCCTCCCCAGCCTCCTAGAGAAGCTCTGGAGCAGGGTGAGAGAGAAAAACGGGCCTTCCCCACCATCCCCTGAGGCCCTCCGGAGGCAGGGAACAACCTGTTTCTCTACTTCTGGTGGGCCCAAAAGGCCCAAAAGTGAGCTGGCGTGCTTACTGATATGGCTACGTGTGCCACGTGTGGCACACATGCCATAGGTTCGCCATCACAGGTCTAACTGAAAAACAGTGCTGATAGCAATAGCAATAGCACTTAGACTTAATGCTTTACAGCACTCTCTAAGCAGTTTAGAAACTCAGCATCTTGCCCCCAATAATCTGGGTCCTTATTTTACCTATTTTGAAAGGATGGAAGACTGAGTCAACCTTGAGCCGGTCAGAATCGAAGTCCTGGCAATGGGCAGAGTTAGACTTGCAGTAGTGCATTCTAAGCATTGTGCCACCGTGGCTCTGATATTCAGTGTAATAAAAAATCTGTTAGTTATCACCTAGGTAGCCCTTGGTTGTCAGAAGAATCCCCTAAACTTTCTTCCCTTTACATATGTTCAGAGAGGGCAATTGATGTTTGTTTTTTGACCTGGCCTGCCTTGAAGGGCTGACGATCCTCAATGATTCTTCTCCATTCCCAGAATAAATTTTCTGTAGAGGTGAAATCAAAGGACATGGCAATTCCCAATTAGCAGCCATTTACCAGAGCTCTCTCCCAATCTCCAGAAGTTTTGACTACCCTCCAAAGCATCTTCCAATTGGAATGTTAAAGATCCTGCATATGGATTGTAATCTTCGACTTCAGATGTTATACGGAAAGGACCCAGTCCTTTTCCCTCACATATCGTCAAGTTTTGTACTGCAATCAGTTTTGAAGGACTGATGTAAAGTTGGATGGTACCTGTGCCAGTTAATGGTGGAATACCTGGGAAAGAATAGAAGTATTTTAATTTTAAGAAACCCTGTATGGAAGCAGGAAGGAGCCTTCAAACTAAGAGAAGACCATATAGTTTAGATGTATGGTTTGTATGCAGCTCCCCCAAACTCTAGAAACAGCTGCAAGTTGCCATCAAGTTTGTCATACCATAAAATAAGGGAAACAGTTGAATTATTAAGACGAATTGCATTAATTGTACTTCAATTCATGAAATAATTATAAATCCAAGTAAGTCAAATAGTTTTTTTCCTGGCCATACACACAACACCTCACATAACAAACCAGAACAAATGATCTGAAAAAACACTGTGTGCTCCAGAATTTAATAGTGAATTTCATTTTAGTTATTTTTGAAATATGCATGGCCACCTATCTTACATACACAACATCACCCTGAACTGCCAACAACAATCTTCCATGCACAGAGACACAAACATAAAATGTCTATCAACAAAATACAAGAGCAATTAAAATAATGTCATAACCAAGGCACCTTTTAATAGGCTCACAAAAGAAATCATACTATACTGGGATGAGCCAGTATTCCAGCCCAGAGGGAAGATTCAGGTCTTCACAGCCTTCCAGTAGAGCTTCAGGGTCTTTTGGAATTTGGGGGTAACTTTTTAGATAGGGACGTGGTGGCTCAGTGGCTAAGACGCTGAGTTTGTCCGATCGAAGGTCGGCAGTTCAGCGGTTCGAATCCCTAGTGCTGCATAACAGGGTGAGCTCCCGTTATTTGTCCCAGCTTCTGCCAACCTAACAGTTCGAAAGCACGTTAAAAAATGCAAGTAGAAAAATAGGGACCACCTTTGGTGGGAAGGTAATAGTATTCCATGCGCCATTGGCATTTAGTCATGCCGGGACATGACCACGGAAACGGTCATGTGCCGACATGTGCTGGCTCTTCAGCTTTGAAACAGAGATGAGCACTGCCCCCTAGAGTCGGGAACGACTAGCACATATGTGCGAGGGGAACCTTTACCTTTACTCTTTATGTTTTAGATAGAGTGGATGCCACGGCAAAGATGGCATGTCTCCTAAGTCCCACAAGATGACATGCCATGATCTTGCCCTCTCAGATCTTGAGGGGGACAGAAAACCTTGAAGAGAGTAGTATAACATGGCTCTCTGTCATAAAGGACTTTAAAGGTGATAACCAGCACTTTGAATTGCACCTGAAAGCAGATTAGGAGCTCGTGAAGCTGTGTACAACACTAGTATAGTATAGACCATGGATCCATGGTCCACTATCAGGCCCTGGACCATTCGCAACCGCACACATGATCAGTGGGCTGGAGCACATGTGCACAGCTCAACTTGCTTGAACAGCAGGCGGGCGTGCATGCATGCGTGTGCATGCCGGCCCACCACTTGATTGGTCCAGTTCCCTTCTTCCCCACCACCACCAGGCTGCCAAGCTGCAAAGGTTGGGGACCACTCGTATACATGAACTGTGATGTGCCCAGAACTGTGCATTTTGGACCAGTTGAAGTTTCCAAATGTATTTTAAGGGCAGCCCCAGGTAGAACGCATTGCTGTTATTCCGATGGGGTTGCGACTAAGTAATGAATGACTACGAGCAGAGCCTCCTGATCTAGAAACAGGTCCAACTGGTGCATAAGGCAGATGTCTGCCAAAGCCCACCTCTTTAAGCAGGAACCACGACTCTAGAAGGATTCTCAAGTTGTGTACCTCCTCTGACCAGGGTGTAATATCAGGGGTGAAATCCAGCAGGTTCTGACAGGTTCTGGAGAACCTGTAGCAGAAATTTTGAGTAGCTTGGAGAACCAGCAAATACCACTTCTGGCTGGCCCCCGAGTGAGGTGGGAATGGAGATTTTGCAATATCCTTCCCCCAGGAATGAGGAGGGAATAGGGATTTTGCAGTATCCTTCCCCTGGAGTGGGGTGGGAATGGAGATTTTGCAGTATCCTTCCCCTGCCACACCCACCAAGCCATGCCCACCAAGCCAAGCCAAGCCAAGCCCACCAAGCCACGCCTACAGAACCGGTAGTAAAAAAATCTGGATTTCACCTGTGTAATACCCCACAGCTACTCATTTTGTTGAAAATGTCTGTTCTCCCTACAGATGGTCATAGCTTCCAGGCACTGGATGAACACCTCAACAGCATAACTAGCTTTGCCAATCATGGAGATCTCAGTTCCTGATCAATTTGTCCATATTTTCCTCTACAGGGTAATTAAATCTTGCAGCTAAAAGTGTTCACAATCTCAGAGCACAGAATATAACTTCTGTCATCTCTGGAAATCTAACCGTGTGCTCCATGCTGTCTTGGTTTGCAGACCCTAAGGAACATATCAATCCTTGCACCACGACTAGACAAGCTCATTCCTAAAAAAGAAACTCTCCAACTCTTACATCACACACAAAGAGAATCAATTCTGAAAGTGTATTAGATAGGGATGACTTTGAATGTTTGCCGAGCTTTGACTTTGCCCATCCTCAAGAACTCACAGATTGAAAAGAAAGGAGGAACTTACCATCATCAATGGCGTGAATCAGAATGGTTTTATTCAGAAATAGATATTCTCTACCAAGAGTTTTTGCTATTGTCACGATTCCATAATATTCACTGATCTTCAGCCAACCACTTGGATCGAACCCAATTTTGTATCTTAAAACAAGCAAATGTTTTAAATATGAATGATAAACTCAGTGCATAATTGTGTAAGCCAGGTAGAGTTTGGCTCCTATCCTCCGCCCGACTAGAAATGGCCAATGTTCCTCAGCCTAGAGTTTTATATACATCTTTAAAAATACCATGTTGGCTGGTGATTTGTGGAAGTGTGGTTCAAATACATTCGGAGATTGACAGATTGGAGAAGACTACTGCAGCCTAGTTAGTTTCACAAAGTAGTTTAATAAACTTACTGTAGCCTATTGTTATTTTCAATCTTTAGTGTCAGAGATATCCTGAAATTGTTAAAGAACAAATGAAAGCTGATTTGAGCAGTTGAAGTGTTTTCACCTGTACTGTATAAACGTAGGAAATCATTTCCCATACAACAAGGTTTAGTGGAGTGGATTCCACGCTAGTTTTTAATATCTCCTGGTCAAAATCTTAAATTTTTTAATTAAGTTAAGCAGCATCTTTAATTCTTTCCCAAACGTACAAGGCAAACTTGTCCTAATTTAGTATTTTTATCTAGGCCCACATAGATTTGACTTGAAGACCCAAAATATTGCACTTTATTTTCATGTTTTACAAAGAAAAAAAAATAATAATGATAGTAATGAAGTTCCTCTGTCTAAAAATTAAAAAGTCTGATGAAGCTTACAGGGAGAAAAAAATCATTTTTAGTGCCCAGGTTCTGCTTGGCTACTACTCTGAAAAGGATGTGGTCCAGAACGGAGGTGGACAACTATTGTTACAGGTGTTATGTCTACCTTATATACAGCTTTTTCATTCCTCTCCAGTATAGTTGTTTCCTGTTACTCTAGGATTCATCTCTATTGTTCCTATGATGCATTTCCTGTTCCTGTTGTAGTTTATGATGGCTCAATGATGGCTTTTATAGCCTTTTAATTAAACTACATGAAACAATTATCACCTTGATGGGCTATCTGCTAAAATAAAGCCAGGTCATGGCACACACTTGAAAGTAAAGAAGTCAAGAAGTCTGTAATTGTGGAGTCCATCTGGCAAGAACAAAGAATCCTTATCCAGAGGAAATATGCATGTGTAAAGCTTGTAACAATTCTGAGTAGTTAGAAAGTTGATAAAAGGAGCCGAGGTGGCGCAGTGGTTAGAGTGCAGTACTGCAGCTACTTCAGCTGACTGCTAGTTCAGCAGATCAGCGGATCAAATCTCACCGACTCAAGGTTGACTCAGCCTTCCATCCTTCCGAGTAAAATGGGTAAAATGAGGACCCAGATTGTTGGGGGCAATATGCTATTTAGTATACTGTCTTTGGTGTAAGCCGCCAGAGTCCTCGGAGAGTGAGCGGCATAGAAATATGAATAATAATAAATAAAAAGTAAGAAAAAGAGTTAGTCAACTTGCAGACCTCAGCTAAAAGTTAGGAATAGAGATGGCTTGGAGCAAATAAAATGTATATTGGATAACTCCTGGGGCATTCATTAGACAAGGCTTAGGAATAGGGACAGCTAGAGACCAATAGAACAAATTGTAGAATTATTACTAAATGTTTATTAGATTATATTTCTTATTATCCTGCCTTGTCCTGCCTTCTCCTTTAGTGAAAATGTATAAAGCTTTCTTCATCCTTTGTTCTTGGCTCTCTTGGCATTTTGGCCAAGAGCCCTTTTCCTTGGGGTACCCCAATAAAAAGCAATCAAAACCTGCACTTCATGTCTGGCATCCTTCATTGGCTTCAGCATCAGGCTCAGACCCGAATTCGGGACAACAACCTCTTTATGACTAGTGGACTTCAACTCCCAGAATTCCTGAACCAGCATGACTGGCTCAGGAGTTCTGGATGTTTACATGCTGTAAAGGGGCCATCCCTGGTCTAGAACAGGAGTGGGCAACTGTGGCCCTTTTACAACCTGTGGATTTCAACTCCCAGAATTCCTGAGACAGCTTGGCCAAGCTATCTCAGGAATTCTGGGATTTGAAGTCCACAGGTTGTAAAAGGGCCACAGTTGCCCATCCCTGGTCTAGAAGAAGCTTTTTCTAAGGAAGAAATGTAAGGAAGCAACAATCCTCCAACAACATTCACAAAGGAACACCAACCATAAGCACTTACCTGATTTTATCTTGTGCTGTGTCTGAATCATGAGCTATATATTTCACAAGTGTAGTACCGCCCTTGACCCCTTCTTGATATTTAAAATGAAGAAATGGAGGAATGAATTGAGGGGCATAGTTTCGAATGGTGATATTAATGTTCACTGAGACTTCAGAAAATGGTGGCTGAAGGCCGCCTTCACATAAAAAGAAGGGCAATTCATTCTCCACAACAATGACAAGTCTCCTCACGGAAAGGCTACCATAGACCAAAGGCTGAAAAAAGAAAAACCAAACCACAAAAGTTTCCATTAATAGATTCTGGTATCCTCTAGCTTCTTCCCAAATCTGACTTCTAGAGAATTGGCATTGCCACTCCCTCATCCAGCCAATTCTAGATTCTAGAAATCTTATCTCTATATTTGTCAGCCTGCCTTACCTTGGCAACCTGTAAAATGCCTTCATTAGTTAAAGAATCCGTAAAAACAACAAAGTTTCCTCTTTCATTTCCTGTTCTTATGGTATACTTGGCTTTCCAAGCACGCGTATTAGGACTATCTTTGTCTTCCACTTTGAGACGAAGGATGTTGATTCCGGATGTGCCTTCTGGGACACCTGCATCATACTTGGAAGACACAGAAAGAGTTCTCTGACACATAATTTCTGGCATTGTGTCTGTCTTGCAATAGCGTGACTAAGAGACAAAAGTTGGGCCATGCAAGCAGAAGGTACACGGAGCTTGAAATGACTAAAGGCAAAAAGTGAAGTACCTCCATTCCAGTAACATTCCTACTGTTCTTTCCTGATATGAACAAATTGTGAAATTCCTTTCTAAATGAAATGGTTACTGTGGATTCTTCTGACCCAGGAAAATCATGTACTTAAGGGGGGAGGGGGAATTACCATCGTTCTGTTCCCCATGAAGAAAAATCAAGAGAATCTCCATGTTGTATACCTTCGTAGTTGGAACTATAAGTCATTAATGATGTCACAGAATATGGCCATAGCAAGTAGGGTATTCCCATATAGTGTTTGTGGGAACAACATTAGGCTATAATCTTTAATTTTTTCACCCCAGTCATACAGTATGGCATATCAAGGTGGGCAATATATAAATATATTGCAAATATTATATTCCAAATATTGCTGAACTATAGATCCTCCATCAATGGCCATATTGGCCAGAACTCATGTAATTGCATTTCAGCAGCCTCTCAAAAAATGTAGGTCCTTTTATTCATCACAAAAGGAATCACATCAGAAGGAAACCATGCTATATAAATCTTGTTCTGTGAGCTTGAAAATGTCAGTTAACACAAGATGGTTTTACTCTTTGTGGCTGTGTCCAGAATAAATTCTCTCACACCGTTCGTAGTTATCTTAAACATCTTACATGTTTTTGGGTAAATACAGGCAAATTGTAGTTCGAATCTTCCACATCAATATTGACTGTTGCGGTTGATGACATGGGTGGAGATCCAAGATCTGAAGCCATGATCAGAACTCTGAATTTCCTATTGGCCTTAAAGACAGTAAAATTTAAAAACAGGGTCTTTTTTAAAAAATCAAAATAAATTTGACATTACTATTATCCTTTGGAACTTTTACAAAATTAGAAGATTGATTTTGTTATCCCTATCTAAAAATGTAGTCCTCCAAATAGTGGCAAGATCTAAGAATACAATTAAGTGGACTGCATGAGATACCCGAGTTTAATACATACAGTCGCTGTCTGTGGAGATTCTCAGTCATCCAGGTCATGGTTTTCCCAAAGGTGTTTTTTCAAGAGGTAACTGGACTTTCTGGTTTTTCTTTGAAGACATTTTGCTTCTCATCCAAGATGCTTCTTCAGCTCTGACTGGATGGTGGGGAACGGAAGAATTTATACTCCTTGCAGACAGCTGGTCATTTGCATTCTTTTAGCAAATTGTTAAGGTCACCTGGAGGTTTATCTATTTAGCCTTCTTGGAACTGTTGAAAGGACCAGCTGGTTTGAAAGAAGGGTCAAAGAGGCCATCTATGTCAAAATTGAACAGCCTTCTCTCAACAGAGGGGGAGGGATACAACCTCATCTATCTCCAATCTACAACACAGTCCTTTCAGCAGTACCAAGAAGGCTCCAGACCCATTTGCACCACTCAGGTGACCTTGATGACACAGATAAACCTCCAGGTGACCTTAATGACTCGCTAAAAGAATGCAAATGACCAGCTGTCTGCAAGGAGTATAAATCCTTCCATTCCCCACCATCCAGTCAGAGCTGAAGAAATTTCTTGGATGAGAAACAAAACGTCTTCAAAAAAAAAACCAAACCAGAAAGCCCCTTTGCCTCTTGAAAAAGCACCTTTGGGACACATACAGTCTCTGTTCCTTCAAACAGCTAAGCATCACTTTGATTCATGTATCAACATATGTATTTCATGCATTCTGTCTGTATGTCCTGTATCTGCATTAATATTCTATAGCCACAAGTTAAAACTTAGCTGGAGAACCATTTTATTGGGGAAACTGAAGTGATTGTGCTGTATTATTGTGTATCATTTTATAAGTTCATTACAACAAAAAATGTATACTCATTTCTAGTCACTTATTCTGCAAGACGTATCTACCAAATATTGGTTTTAACCTCTTATTTCATCCTTCCAACTCAGTAGTCATGTTGTGTCAGCTAGGAGAAAATGGATCTAGATAACTCTTTGAATTGCTAACAAATAAATTTAGCCATTTTTCTGGCACCAAATACAATTTCTATCCTTTAATTTACCATTTCATTAAATTGCTCACCCACAACACTCAAAAGAACTATGATAAGCATTTATCTTAAGGTGGTGGGTTAATGTTAGATACTAGACTAAAAGACAAAATCAACAATCAAATTTTAGTGGATCGTTTTACTGGATCATGTGGATACCAAGACACAGAACCCATGCAACTAATTATAACTTTGTTTCTAAGGACAAACTTTATGTTCCAAGGACAAACTTTGTTTCTAAGGACAGTACCTCATAATCCAAGCATTGTGTAATGCTCATGGAGCCAGTAGAGGAATCAATGTTGAAGAGAGGCAGCTTTAGTTGAGGCATCTGCGAAATCAGAAAATATACCACTTCAGAATTTGCAGTGCCTTTTTGGTCTGAGTCAAATGCTGTCATTCTGTAAAAGTGTTGACCTATAATAGAAAAATTGAAGCACATTAGAGCAATGTCATAAATTTAATTGGAGTCTGGAGAGAAAATGTTTTCATAGGTGTCCATTACAAATGTATAACCTACACAACACTTGTGTAGGTTTCTGTCTAGAAAAGACCACCATATGAATTTTGCCACCTAAAGGAAAATGTAGCCTTAGATTTTGACTTCATATAGACTAGGGGTGTCAAACTCGAGGCCCGTGGGACGGATCCGGCCTGCTAAAGTTGCCTCTCTTCAATATTGATTCCTCTAGTGGCTCCATTAAATCTGGCCAACGGGGCCAGCCTGAAAATAGCAAAGGACAGCCCCGCTATGCCTTTGCTAGCAAAAACGGGGTGCATGGGAGGCACACAGCCCCCCTGCTCTGTTTTGGACGGCAGGGTGTTGCAGGTGGTGTCCGTCCCATTTCCCACCACCACCACCCAGCCCACAGAGAACTATAATGCTGATCCGGCCCTTGAAGAAATCCAGTTTGACTCCCCTGATATAGACTGTAAGAGAACTGGTTTCGTATAGGGGTGAGAGCATCAGGATAGAAACTGGGAGACCATGCGTTCTAGTCCCACCTTAGGCACAAAGTCAGCTGGGTGTTCTTGGATCAGTTCCCCTCCCTGGGGAAGCAGACAATGACACTACCACTTCCAAAAAACCTGGCCAAGGAAACGGTAGGGACTAGTCCAGACAGTCGTCAGGAGTAAACACTGATTTGAAGGCATGCAAATAAATAGGGTTTACTACATGAAAATGCCAACATTTAACATATACAGATAAGGTATCAAGTATCCAACTAATAAAGTCTAAAATAAAAACATTCATTAGTATGTAAAATGGTGTGTGGAAATTAAGTACAATAACAGAAGATGATAAATTACAATCCTTACAATACTGTTAATAATTCTTTTAGAAATATCACTATATTGAACATTCAGTAATGCATTGCTGTTTGTTGGATATTTTGATATCAGAAGGGTTATTCTGTTATGTAGGGATGATAAACTGAGAGTATATCGGTAATTATTTCAGTTGCAGTACCAAAACAGACCCATAGTTGATTGTGGAAAGGAACTTGGTTAAATTAGGAAGGAAATTAGATGCACCTTGAAGTGTGCATCCAAATAATGCATTCAATGGATATTTTCCATGTGGCTTACACTACAGATAGTGCATTATTGTGTCATTTGTACCTGGAAAAGAATAGGGAGAAATATAGATTTCACCCAAAGGGACTTTAAATTTACTTTGACAGTGAAAAATCCCAGAAATTGAAAATGATTGAAAACATCTAGAAAAAAAACCCTATTAGCTCCCTATTAAAATGCACACAATGTAATTAGAAGAGAAATGTTTCTTTTATGTTTATGTAGGAATGGATCTCTTTTTCTACTTAGCTGACAAGAAAAAGAAAGAAGAAGAAAAAAGGACAGGAATCTACAAGGTGCAATCCTATCTGATGTTGCTCAGATTTTAAAGGCTACTCACCTTTGTGATAATTTCCTTTGATGATGATATTGAATTCGCGTTGGGAAAACTGAGGTGCATTGTCATTTATATCCTGAATATGAATGATGACATTCAAGGGATTTGCTAGCCTTTCATTGTTAGTTGTGCTACGAACATCAAAAGTGAGCTGAACAACAGATAACCAATGAGGAAATCAGGTTCAATTATAAGACAAAGCAAAATTACATTAAGCAAAGTTTTGATCGCTGGAAATCCTACTTAATATTACAGATAGGAGAGTCATTAATCCGTATTGTTGACCAGGATTTGTCAAGTGGGCCTGAGTTCTGTTCTGAAAGAAGTTTTCTGGATTTTTAAAAACTGTGCTAGGCCTCCAGATATATTAAGCTACAATACTTGTAAAGAAAAAGAAAGAAAAAGAAAAGGAAAAAAAAGAGTGCAGTGAAGAGCAACAAGGGTGATTAGGGAGCTGGAGGCTAAAACAGTTGCGGTAACTGGGTATGTCTAGTCTAGTGAAAAGAAAGACTTGACATGAGGCAAGTTCAAAAGTAATGTTAGGAAGTATTACTTCACAGGGGAAAAAAATAACGGAGGTGTGGAACCAACTTCCAATGGAGGTAATGGGTCAATCATCAGTAATTGAGTTTAAACATGATTGGATAAACACATATCCACTGTCTAGAATAACAAAGTTGGAAGGGACTTTGGAGGTCTTCTAGTCCAATCCCCTGCTTAGGCAGGAAACCCTACATCACTTCAGACAAATGGTTATCCAACATCTTCTTAAAAACTTCCAGTGTTGGAGCATTCACAACTTCTGGAGGATTAATTGTTCTAACTGTCAGGAAATTTCTCCTTAGTTCTGAGTTGCTTCTCTCCTTGATTAGTTTCCACCCATTGCTTCTTGTTCTGCCCTCAGGTGCTTTGGAGAATAGTTTGACTCCCTCTTCTTTGTGGCAACCCCTGAGATATTGGAATACTGCTATCATGTCTCCACTAGCCCTTCTTTTCATTAAACTAGACATACCCAATTCCTGCAACGGTTCTTCATATGTTTTAGTCTCCAGTCCCCTCATCATCTTTGTTGTTCTTCTCTGCACTCTTTCTAGAGTCTCCATATCTTTTTTACATCGTGGCAACCAAAACTGAATGCAGTATTCCAAGTGTGGCCTTACCATGTCCATCAGCTGACAAACATTAAGAAATAAAATGTAAACAATTTTTTTTTTAAATCTCAAAGGGCAAATTTGATGGACCACTTGATCTGGCCCACCTAGACCACTTGACTAGTCAAGACCACTTGACTAATATCAGCTTTCTATGTTTCTATGTAAATATTCTCTTCTATAGCATCTTCAATTTGCCTCCTAAGGCTATTAAAAGTCACAGACTCAGTTATTCTGTGACTGTGCCTACTAACTGTTAGGTTTTGTTTTTTTTTACAAAAAATCTAATTTAACAGGTTAGCTGCAAAAGGAAGAAGTACTATGAAATGAAGCAGAGTATGGTTAGCATGGGTATGCTTTTTTGCAGTTCAAGATGGATAATATAAAGATTGTAAGCCAGATCATGAAGCTGTAATACTTAATTGGTAGCTAGAAAGTAGGCTGAGTGAGCAAATCGCTTCTTAGGATACAGTCTTTTGTATCATCATATAAACAGCAGATGGAACCCAAGAGCAGCAAAGTCTTCACCCAGCTTTGCCTGGCAATTCAGTTTATGGCCCTACTTAGACCAAAATAACCTGGCAACAATAACTCAGGTTGTACTTGTCACTCAGTTGGCTATTCTAACACACTCAATCTGTGTGCTGCCACTGCGTGGCCTAAGTGTTGTCTATTCCCCCTCAGTGTAGAAGAATACTTAATCACTGATTATTAATAGATTTCTAGGCCCAAATCATGCTGATCCCTCCCTTAAGTCTTGTGGACTTCAACTCCCAGAATTCCTCAGCCAGCATAGCTGAAGTCCACAGGTCTTAAAGCTGCTGAGATTGGACATCCCTGTTTTAAAGCCTTACATAGACCAACTTATGGTTGCCAGTTTATATCAGGCAACACACTGAACAGAAGAAGAATCTGTATATCCAAGGGGTGTCAAACTCAATTTCATTGAGGGCTGCATCAGGGTTGTGTTTGACCTCGAGTGGCCGGGATCAGTGGTAGGATTCAGCCAGTTCGCACCACTTCGGGAGAACCAGTTGTTAACTTTCTCAGCAGTTTGGCAAACTGGTTGTTGGAAGAAATCATTAGGACAGAGAACTGGTTGTTAAATTACTTGAATCCCACCACTGGCCAGGATGGGTGTGGCCAGTTCGACATCACTTGTTTTGGGGGTGCCTGTGGTGGTCCGAGCACTCTGCCAGCGAAAAGGGGCTCCCAAGCTCCGTTTTTGGGTGGGACAGCCTCCTGCTGGCAGAGGCACTCCGGGCCGGTCCTTCAGTGTTTCCAGGGCAGCCCCGCGGGCCAAATCTAAGCACCCTGTGGGCCAGATCCGGCCCCCAGGCCTTGAGTTTGACACCCCTGGTCTATCCTGTCTATCCTGTTTCAGTTATTGTGAGAAGGTCTTTGAAGGATCCTGCTCCTTCCCAGGTATATGGGGCAAGATGTGGAAAGCTATGGGCAAGCTAGCAGGGCTTCTCAATCATAGCTTCCACTTTATGGACCTGTCCTTCATTCAGAGGTATCCATGACTGCTCCCTCCTTGCTTTTTGGAAGCCTTCGGCCCAACTTGATGAGGATGTTGTGATGGATTCGAAAGAAAGTTGCGTTCATTGGGATTTGTTTCACCGGGACTTTTTCTCTGTTTAATGAAGGTGCAAAATAAGTAAATATTTTTGAAATATTTACTGAAAAAGAAGGCGTCTTCTCTCGATCGATGGGATGATGCACATATACATCTCCACAGGTGCCTCTAATAGAAAACACTGTCACATTTGGATTTCCATCCACATGCATTGAATAAGTGACAGGTCCCTTCTGGGCTACATCATTTAAGACCTATAAAAAAAACAGATTGCAATATCTGAGTAAGGTTTCCAATTATTTTTAAAACTCTCTCTCTCTCAATATGTCTCTCTCTCTCTATGTGCGTGTGCATGTGCGTGTGTGTGTATTATATATACATATATAATACACACCAAGATACTTCCAATTTTACGCGGGAGAAAACCCGAATAACCAAAGACCTACATACAAACACCCGCGAAAACCTCAGAAAACATATATATACACATATATATGTATATTATATATACATACACACACACACAAATATATACACATATATATACATATACATGTATATTATTTCAGTTGAGCTTTTAATAGAGTTAATGAGGAATTTCATGCCTTTTCTGTTACCAAAAATATACCATTATATTCCAATTGTGGCTGTGGTAGCAAAGATTCTTTCATTTTATGTCCACATAGCAACTGCTTCTGTTACGATGTTGCATGTGTGCCAGTAAATAGGAGTTTTGACCAATATGGTAATTTACCATATATTTGCCTTTGAGTCAATCTTGACTCCTGGCAATTGGATGGAGAACTCCAAGCCATTTCCTGACAACGTATTTTGTTTGACTTTGTCTTCTTCTTAAAGATGAAAGAGAGTGACTAGGCCAAAGTCATCCCAAACTAGTTGCATATTTACATCAAGATTAGAATTCATAGAGTTCATTCACTAGTTTTTTTTTAACTCCAGTGTTTTAACTATTGCATCAAACTGAGACCTGCTGGATCTGGTTGAGGCCCATCTTTCTCCACCCAGGAGTTTTGAGGAGTCAAATGGGATGCCAAACAGCTGATCACAAGCAGGAGACAGAAATCCACTTTCTCCTGCTGTCGTTGCTCTTCAACTTATATTTAGAGCTCACCATGAATCTGAAAGATTAATACGCCTTGACAGACCTGTCTTCTCTGCATTTGTTTAATCCTCTTACACTTTATACTGTGCAAGTTACTGGCTATCATCATTAACAGGTTTTACAGGAATAAATTCTCTCTAATCTGGTTATGCATTATTTCAACTCTCTTCATTGATTTTCAGCAGTGTCTATCGTCTGCGAAGTTAAACGAAAATCCTCAAATTAAGCAAACACATAGAGTCAACAAAAAAGGGTGGGGTTGAAAGATTGGGAATCATGGAACTACCAGTTCTTAGCAATAGTGTGAAGTAGCAAAATTAGATGATGATAATAATAATAATAATAATAATAATAATAATAATAATAATAATAATAAAAAACATGTAACAGTGATACCCATTGTCATCGGGACGCTTGGTACCATGTCCAAGAATTTTATAAAATACATCAACAAATTGCAGCTTCCTGCAATAACACCAACGAAACTGCAAAAAACTGCGCTACTTGGAACATCGTACATCTTAAGAAGATACTTGGTTGATACCTAGGACGCTGGCAGCAACCCGTATCAACCATTAGCACCAGTCATTGGTATTTGTGATGTATTTTTTAATGTTCAGTTGACTCAGTTTCATGTTTAATGAATAAAGTAAATAATAATAATAATGAAACAACTAAGCATAAGTTGTAAACTACCCAGTCACACTGTTTGATTTCAGTGGTCCTATAAATCCATTGAATGAATGAATGAATGAATGAATGAATGAATGAATGAATCAAGCAAGCAAGCAAGCAAGCAAGCAAGCAAAATAAATAAGTAAAATAAGCAAGCAAACAAACAAACACATAAATAAATAGTCAACATTTTTTTTGTTACCCGTCCAATCAGTTCTGTGGATGCAACTTTTTCTTCTATAATGTCTATAAAGAAATCTTTGGTCCATTTCTTCGATGGTGAAGAATGAAAACTGTTGAGTGGATGCTGTGAATGAAAGGATTCAATTATTATGACATGCCTTTCTGCAATTGAAATTACTGAGCAGAGGACCTTTAGATCATGTCCTGAAGCATGCTGAAAGCTATTTGAGATCAGCAGTTGAGCACAAGCAACTGCTACTCTTAGACAGAAGGTCTGCAGGCCATGTAGAAGGTTTCAGAATACTTCTCAGCATCTCTAGGTAAAAATGGAGAGTATTCTGCCTGCAATGCTGCAGAGATCCTATCAGTCAGTGTCCATAGTATTGAATTAGACAGAACAACTGAGATTCATTTCTACACCAATATGCAATAACTTTTTCAGCACAGGCTCTAAATCAGTGCTCTCCAGCCTTCCCAGCCTTTCCAATTGCTGTGGGGGAGAGAGGATGGTTCCACGTGACTGGTGGGCAAGCCGCTCACACAAATGAAGCTGGACACATGCTTGCCAGCCCGCTGCATGCGCAAGTGAGCCATCAGGCACGGGCCTGGTGGCTCAGCAGACTAAAAGCATTGTGATTAACACCAGCTGTCTGCAATTACTGTAAATTCGAATCTCACCAGGCTCAAGGTTGACTCAGCCTTCCATCCTTTCTAAGGTAGGTAAATTGAGAAGCCAGTTTGTGGGGGCAATAAGCTGACTTTGTATAAATATACAAAAGTATGAAGGCTATTGCTTAATGCATTGTAAGCCGCCCTGAGTTTCCGGAGAAGGGCGGCATATAAATCAAATTTTAAAAAAAAAAAAAAGTGAAGCCCAGTTCTAAACAGGCAGGGGCCCGGCAGTGGGGGTTGGGAACCTCTCCTCTAAATGATATAAGGTAAAGGTAAAGGTTCCCCTCACACATATGTGCTAGTCGTTCCCGACTCTAGGGGGCGGTGCTCATCTCCATTTCAAAGCTGAAGAGCCAGCGCTGTCCAAAAACATCTCAGTGGTCATGTGGCCGGCATGACTAAATGCCAAAGGTGCACAAAATGCTGTTCAATAAGGTGGTCCCTATTTTTCTACTTGCATTTTTTACGTGCTTTCGAACTGCTAGGTTGGCAGAAGCCAGAACAAGTAACGGGAACTCACCCGTTACTCGGCACTAGGGATTCAAACCACTGAACTGCCGACCTTTCGATCGACAAGCTCAGCGTCTTAGCCACTGAGCCACCGCATCCTGATCTAAATGATATATACATGTACAATTGGAGTCCTCAAACAAAGACAGGTACATAGCCCCCTTCAAGTTGAATTTGACTCATTGGACACATAATCTATGTGGTTTTCTAGGCAACAGTACAGAAGCCCTTTTGACTGCCCTGCATAGTCTAACCATGGGATCTCTTGGTGACCTATAGTCCAAATCCAATGTCCCTTCACACATTGAAGCCTTAAAAACATCAGCCAGGTACAACTGCCTAAGATTTAAAAAAAGGGGGGGGACACAATTATGGATTCTGATAGGGAAAAGCAAATTTAAAATGATCTCCAAAGGCAATAGGAAAATATGACCAATGACATCTCTCAATATAGATGAGGGATGGTATTGCAAATGTTCTGCCCATTTTTAAAAAATAATGTTGCACAATAGAGGTATGAGGTGAGTACCTGCTATTGGTACTATGAGGGGACTGAAAGCATAGATAGATAGATAGATAGATAGATAGATAGATAGATAGATAGATAGATAGATGGATGGATGGATGGATGGATGGATGGATGGATGGATGGATGGATGGATGGATGGATGGATGGATGGATGGATGGATGGATGGATGCAGGGGTGAAATGCTCCCGATCCGGTAGCGATGGGGGCGGGTGGTTCGGAGAACTGGTAGCAAAAATCCCTGCCCCCACCCCCATGCCCAGCTGAGCCGCACAATCATCAGAGGCTTTTTTTTTTACTTTTTTTACTACAATCTCTTCGGCCGAAAAAATGCTTTTAAAAGTAAAAAAAAAGCCTCTGATGATCGCGCGGCTCAGTTGGGATCATCAAAGGCTTTTAAAAGAAAAAAACCCCTTTTTTTTTCTTTTAAATGCCTCTAACGATCAGGCAACTCAGCTGGGATCGTCAGAGCCTTTTGAAAGCACTTTTTTACAACCTCTTCGCTGAAGAGGTTGTAGAAAAAATGGTTTTAAAAGTACAAAAAAAAAATGGCCACGCCCACCCAGTCGCATTACCCCCACCCACCCACCAAGCCACGCCCACAGAACCGGTAGTAACAAATTTTAGATTTCACCCCTGGATGGATGGATGGATGGATAATGGATGGATGGATGATGGATAGGGAGGGAGGGAGGGTGGGAGGGAGAGATATATAGACATGGATAGGTGGATAAAATGCCAAATCCAGTGTGAACATCTGGTTGACTGTACGACAAACCATAATAATAATCAAACTCAATTGATTTGGGGGCTGCTAGATACAGTATACATATCAGACGTTCAGTCTGTGTTTGGCATTTTATCCACCTATCTAGTCCTGCCCAAGGACCAGGGATAGGCAGATGCTGTTGTTTGATGGTGTTAAAGCTATCATTGCAGTGTGTAAATCATTCCAAGTTAAAGCTGCCTTTTGAAATTGACTGGTGGTTAATTTGTCAATGCTGATGGTATTCAAGTGATGCTCCAGTTGTTTTGGGATGGCACCCAAGGCGCCTATGACAATTGGTACTGCTTTTGGTTTCTTTTGCCACAGTCGTTCTATTTCTACTTGCAGGACTTTATATTTTGTTATCTTTCCCAGTTCTTTTTGTTCTGCGGTCTGCAGGCATTGGAGCAGAATTTGGAGGGTTGTGTGAAAATCACAGACTTAAAATTTGCTCAAGCTTATCAACATACAGCTACAGATTCATTGCTGTGATCACTCAACACTCAGGTGATTCTGAATGTCATGGGATACCAGCCATGACTTTGTCCTCATATGTCTACTTGTTTGAGAAAATTGCACTTCATTGACTCAACTTTCAGATTAGGTCCACCCTTGGGTGAATCTAATCCATATTTCACTCCAGACAACACTGAGTATTCCAATTCAGAAGAACAATAAAAAAACAAAACATAATTTTACTATAAATTTCATTTTACCTTTTAAATGAATCTGATTCACTGAAGAATTTGATGGTATACCTACCTGATTATATCCCTTGAAGTTGCTCAGGGTATAATGGAAGTTGTGGATGACAAGAACCTTAATGGACAGGAAAAAGAAGTAAAGTAAGAATGCTATTGTAGCAAAGATGGGTCTAACACCAAGACCTATCATGAGACAATAAACAGGCCAGTCCATACAAGCCACAAAGTGTATAATTTATTTATCTCTTCAACTCAGTCTCCTTACTGAAACTAATCCAGAAAATTTTAGCTTTGTTGAAAAAAGCTAAATAATGTCCTCATTGCTACATAACCATAGTAGAACTCACACTAATAGCAAAGCAAAAAGTTTTAAACCATGTTACCATTTAGTATCTTGATGTTTAAATAATGGTTAAAATCTTAGCTAAATGTTACATGAGGATGCAGACATAAACCTATAACCCTGTGATGGCAAACCTATGGCATGTGTGCCACAGGTGGCACGTGGAGCCATATTGGTGGGCACACGAGCATTGCCCTAGCTCAGCTCCAATGCGCATGCATGCGCTGGCCGGGTGATTTTTGGGCCTTCTGGGCCCACCGGGAGTTGGGAAACAGGCTCTTTCTGGCCTCTGGAGGGCCTCTGGGGGGCTTTCTTGGAACCTGGGGAGGGCAAAAACAGCTTCACCACCACCCCAGAGGCCCTCTGAAGGCTGGAAACGGCCCATTTCCTGACTTCTGGTGGGCCCAGAAAGCCCATTTTTCAGAAACGGGCTGTTTCCGGCCTCCAGGGGGCCTCCAGGGGGGTAGGGAAGGCCGTTTCCGCCCTCCCCAGGTTCCAAGAAAGCCCCTGGACCCTGGGGAGGGTGAAAAACGGGCCTATCGGGCCCACTGGGCCATCACGTACCAAAAGCGGGGGGAGCACAGGGGGGGGCTGCGTGTGCATGTGCAGGGGGGAGGCGCATTGAATTATGGGTGTGGGCACACAGGCGCGTGACCCCCCCGCGCTTCCCCCGCTTTTGGCACGCGACGGCAAAAAGGTTAGCTGTCACTGCTATAACCCAAGTTGCCTAGAGTTTGATTGTATTACCTTGTCAGTTGTTACATTATATTCCTGTGAAATTTATTAGATGCCAGTTTATTTATTTATTTATTTGTATCCCACCTTTATTTTTACAAATAACTCAAGGTGGTGAACATATCTAATACATCTTCCTTCTCCTATTTTCCCCACAACAACTCTGTGAGGTAAGTTGGGCTGAGAGAGATTGACTGGCCCAAGGTCACCCATTCTAGTCCCATTTTAGCTATGACTTTCATGGCTAAAATGGGACTAGAATTCACAACCTCCTGGTGATTGGCCCAAAGTCACCCAACTGACTTTTCATGACTAAGGCAAGATTAGATCTCACAGTCTCCTGCTTTCTAGTCTGGTGCCTTAACCACTAGACTAAACTGGCTCTCTTAATTATAATCTCCATTCATATTCTCTAGTCATAAGTGAAGCTCATAATCCTAAACAAAGAAACAGTTTGATGTACAACAGGACCAAGAAATCAGGAACCAGGATAGAGTTCAAAAGTATCTCATGATACTTATACACAAGAATCTGAACTACTTATGTTCAAGGCAAATTGGCACCAGATAAGAGTCAACGGACATCAAAGGGGACTGGACTTAGATCTCTTATGGGACAGAGAGACACTAAACTGATGATGCATTTGACCCCACTCTCGGACTCATCTTGGTCATCTCCTACAGTATAGAGACTATGCCGCTATGAGTTTTAGGTCTCCCTTAGGCCAGAAAGCCAGCTGGCTGACAGGCCAGTCATTTTCTGTCAGCCCAATTCACCTCACAGGGTGGTTCTTATGTGAAAAACAGAAGACGGAAGCACTGACTATGTATCTGTCTTGAGGTGATCAAAAATAAAAATGGAAATATAAATCGATACACTCTGCTTAGTTCATTTTTATCCGCTGATAATTATCTTAATTTCTTTCCTATTCATTTTCGTTTCATTTTTAAGGTTACCCTTTTATTATTCTGACTTGTTAGTCTGGCTGCTTTGTTGTATGTACCATTTATTTCTTTTTAATCCTACAAGTAATCCTGGATTTACAACCATAATTAAGACCAGGATTTCCATGGCTGAGCAAGATGGTTATTAAGTGAGTTGCATCTGACTTTACAATTATTATTTTTTGCCATGATTGTTAAGCAAATAACTGCAGCTATTAAGGGAATCACACTGTAATTAAGAAAATCCAGCTTCTTCCCCCATTAACATTGGTTGTCAAAAACCAGCTGGGGAGTTGCAGCTGATGATCACATGACCCTGGGATGATGTAAGTGTTGAAAATACATGCCAGTTGCCAGGCATCCAAATTTTGATCATGTGACTGTGCAGGAGGGGTGGGTTCTACTTACCTTTACTACCGGTTCGCACCACTATGACTGTGGGAATGCTGTGAGCATCATAAGTGTGAGCACCAGTCGTAAGTCACTTTTTTCAGTGCTAATGTAACATTGAATGGTCACTAAATAAATGATTGTTAAGTCAAGCACTAACTGTACTGACTTATTCTATATACTGGTAAAGTAATACTGTATAATTTGTTCTTTGATTTGTGTTGGTTAAATAGTGTTAGAAAGATTAATGATGTCACTTTTTTTATAAATGAGTAACTGTTGTTTGGACTTAACAGGCAAAGGTGAATGTACTTTAGAGTGTGAATACAAAGAGAAACTGATACTTTGTTAGCTGCAAAAAAGAAATCATAAACAACTGAGGTGCAAATTGTAGTTATAAGTTGCCAACTTGCTAACTTGCAAATTTGTGTGGTTCGGTAAAAGTCTTTTTTTTTTTTTTTTTTTGCAGTTGAGTGAAAGTCAAGGTCATTTATAAAGATTAAATGTTTGCCTTGTCATGAAACAGAAAGTGAAAAGTTCAACATTGTATTGTTATTTATTCTCTGGGACTTGGGTTGCAACTCCCATCATTCCCTAGCCAAAAATGACTGAGAAGTGGCTAATAGTCCGAGGTTTCAGGAAAGCATCAGTTTGAAGATAAAGCTAAATTTGGAAGCCCAAACCAGACTTCATATTCATGGGAAAAAGTAGAGATCTGCCCCATGCAGTGGGCTCCACAAAGCTGGGTGACTCTATCCCAAGGGTGCTTTGCAGTGGTGGAATTCAAATTTTTTGACTACTGGTTCTGTGGGTGTGGCTTCAAGGTCATGTGACTAGGTGGGCGTGGCTAGCTGGTCAGTCATTTCTGGAAGGTCCTCACACTTACGACCAGTCCTCGTACTTACGACCCAACTCATTTGTTTGCCTTTAACCTTGATCAGCTGTAGGACGGCCCTTTGAAGCCCCGCGGCAAGAGTTTAAACAGTTTTTTTTCCCTCTAGCCATCAGCTGGGACACAGGAGGCAGCAATAGATTGGGGGTGGGACCAAATAAAAGGTAAGAATAACGTGGGGGGGTGGGGGGGAGGGCGGGGAGGGGGAGAACCGGTTCGGTGATGTCATATCATCACCGCTACCGGCTTGGCCGAACCAGACCGAACCGGGAGGAACCCACCACTGAAGTTTCCCTTGCTAGAGATAGGCCTGGAAAAGCCCTACTGAGCCACTTCCTAGTATCCTTTTCATTTGCCATGGGAGACCGTACCTTTCCAGAGATCTGGGACAAAATTATCATGGAGAGTGCAATTTTTTGAAACGTTGCTACTCCAACCCAGATGAGACCAAAAAAAAAAAAAAAACCTCTGAAAGAACTTCCTGGGGCAATGGAGTCATCACTAAATATAGAGAATCTGTAAGGTGATCTGTCAGGTAGCCATAACTGAATGTATCTTAAATCATTTATAGCAGGCTTTGAGTTTTGCTAAAAGCATGAAGTTTCTCCAAAGAAGACCCACTCCTGGTATGAATTGGGGGTTCAATATTGATAAACCTAGATATCATATGAACTCAGTTGTTGTTATCCATTTTCCAGTCACCACCTTACAATTGCTAACCTGGCTGATCTTGTAAGATCGAGGGTCATGAATTGTCTTAATACTTGAAGAAGATTGAACTGCATAAAGAAGTGGGCCACCATGTATCTGAAATGGGTTTCCTGAGCAGGGGGTTTCCTGAGCAGGGAGCTGGACTAGAAGACCTCCCAACCAGTGGTGAAATCTAAAATTTGCTACTACCGGTTCTGTGGGCAAAGAGGTTGCAAAAAATGCTTTCAAAAGGCTCTGACGATCCCAGCTGAGTTGCCTGAACGGCAGAGGCTTTTTAAAAAAAGCCTCTGCCGATCAGGCAACAGTTGGGATAGTCAGAGGCATTTAAAAGAAGAAAAGGGTTTTTCTTTTAAAAGCCTTTGACAATCCCAGGTGAGCCGTGCGATCATCAGAGGCTTTTTTTTTTTACTTTTTTTTTTATTGAAAAGTTTTAAAAAATTTTACACATATTTTCCCCTCCCTTCTCCCCCCTCCTGCCCCAACTTCCCCCGCCCCCCCGGACTTCCCAAAGTAAAATACAGGGTATAGCATTTAACAAACATAAGAAAAAAACATATGCTAACTATCTATAGATTTATCTCCCTCTTGCACTTTAACTCCCCTTGTTCATATCTAAATATAACTATTTAAACCAGTTATTGCTTGAAAGTAATCAATCCAACTTCGTTCTTGTCCGTTCTTCAATAATAAGCAAGTCTTCTTTCTTCCACTATTACACAATCAGAGCCCAGTTACAATTAACCATCACATCTCCAACCCTTACATATATTAACACATTAACAAAATATTTTAACCAATCTCAAATAAAATATATTGTAAAAACCTTATTTTTACTTTTTACCCCATAAACTTATATTGATTCTTCCTGGAAACATTCCTTACTTAATAGCTTTGCATAAACTTATTCATCTTATTCTCTACAAATCCACTACATATAATCAAATACCATCTTCACTATTTAATATCTATAAAAAACATTGTAAAAACCTTCCCTCAACCCTTGCACCACTTATATTTTCCCTATAACCCATAAGTTTATATTTATTCTTCAACAAAACATTCTTTAATATAGCATTAATGTAATTTAAAACAAAGTATAAAGATTTAAGTAATATCCTTCTTCTAACCCATAAACTTATATTAAATGATCTACATTGTCCATAACTTTTACATCCACAATATTTTTCTTTTAACCCATCAGCTTATATAAATTCTTCAACAAAGCATTCCTTGAAATATACTTCAAGACAAAAGTGAAAGTTTGGTCAGTGGCCCATAACAATTCAAACATAACATTATTTAATATACCTTTTCAGAACAAATCATGTCCCTAAATATAAGTAAATCATTCATTTTCACTATAATATAACTTTTCAAAACAAATCATATCCCTAAATAAAGGTATAGTCATTCATTTTCACTTATTACTATCCTCCCCAACAAGGAGGGTTATAATTTTTCCATCTCCATTTTTTCCTGACTTTTTTGCGAACCTTCTTCTTCAGTCTTATTCCTCCGCCTTCTTTTTTTTTTATAAATTCTTGAATTTTCAACTTACTTTTAAAAGCATTTTTGGGGCGATCGGATCCGAACTGGGAGCATTTCACCCCTGCTTCCAACTCTTGTTATTCTGTCAAGTCTACAAATTCTATTTTGATCATCTTCATCATCATCATCACACACAGCGGCCAAATTTGCCAGCTTTGTCCGCCACCAAACTAAGGGCAAACTAAGTTCGATCATGGGGGGGGAGAGGGAGAGAGGAGGGGATGGATAGAAACGGCAACTGGTCAAGAAGAACGTCAAAACCTCTCACCCCAGGTTGCCAAGGTCAAAAGAGCCTTGAGAGTACAGTGGTTACGCACCCTGTTATTTATTTATTTTTAATTTGATTTATATGCCGCCCTTCTCCGAAGACTCCGAAGACTCAGGGCGGTTTACAATGTGCTCAGCAATAGCCTTCATCCTTTTGTATATTTATTAACACAGCTGCCTGCAATTTACTGCTGGTTCGAATCTCTCCAAGGCTCAAGGTTGACTCAGCCTTCCATCCTTTCTAAGGTAGGTGAAATGAGGACCCAGTTTGTGGGGGCAATAAGCTGACTTTGTATAAAATATACAAAAGAATGAAGGCTATTGCTTCACGCATTGTAAGCCGCCCTGAGTCTCCGGAGAAGGGCGGCATATCAATCAAATTAAAAAAAAAAAAAAAGCGCACAACGCCAAAGAGGGGAAGCCACCCTGCAGCTAGCTGGGACTTTGCCTGAAAAGAAAGTTAGTACAAAGTCTCACGTGTCCCACAGGGAAACTCCCTATAGGTGCTGGTGCTGCCCGTAACACAACCGGTGGGCAAGCCGTGGATTCAAGGGGTCCAGCTACAGGAGGAAGTCTCCGTTTCCCTCCCCATCCCTTCCCCCCTTCCATACCGCCAGAAGAAAACGCGCGGCGCCAGAGCCCCACTTGCGCCAGGGCATCGTGCTTCCAGCTTGGCTTTGGCTGGCTGGCTGCTGAGGCTTCCGACGGTCTCTTAACGGAGCCTCGGAGGACGATCCCACCGTCTTCCACCCCAGAGAAGCTGGCGGATGCTCCGGGGCAGCGCGCTCAACTGGAAAGTCCCCGAAGGTGCGCTGTGATTAAAAATAAATAAATACAGACGAGAAAATAACTGCTTCCAGGGATGAAGGATTGCGCTGAGCTCCACCCCGCCCTCTCACTTTTATTGCCTTGATATCAGCTACGGTTTAAGGAAATCCAATTATTTACTTTACCCGGGTATAAAAAGCAAGTGGAAGCCTAAAGTCTATCTCAAAAGGAGAGAAAGTTTAGCAAAAGTTTGCAGATTCAGAATAACTTCTTTTTTATTTTTATATGCCGCCCTTCTCCGGAGACTCAGGGCGGCTTACAATGCGTTAAGCGATAGCCTTCATACTTTTGTATATTTTATACAAAGTCAGCTTATTGCCCCCCACAAACCGGGTCCTCATTTTACCCACCTTAGAAAGGATGGAAGGCTGAGTCGACCTTGAACTCGCAGTAATTGCAGGCAGCTGGATGTTAACTGCTGCCTTAGTAGGAGGCATTAGCATCCTACGCCACTCAGGTTCCTCCTGTTGTTGGAGGAAAAGCAAGAGGATTATGGAACACCTGCAGAATGCCTTTCCATACTGTTACATAGCTGCCCTTTAACCTCTGCTTTAAATACTTGTTTGCATGTGCTTCATTGGCTTAGCCACCTCATATCTCCACGTGGTTAGGTCCTCATGGCCAATCTGTCTGGGCATATATAGGTAGAGTTCAGCCAACGTAGTAGTTGGATGAGAACCCCTCCCCCCAAGGAATCCACAGGGTTGGAGACTAGATTGGACTTATCTTTGAAGATAAGTCAAAGTTATCTTCTTAAGCAAGTATATTAGTTATGGTTGCCAAGAATACTTTTGTTCTTCTGTTATTGTTATCAAGAATACTACATGGGCATGACCATGAAGTCAACAGGAGCTGAGCTTGGCTGAAGGAGACTTCCTTTCCTACGTTGGAATAGGGTGTTTTACATCAACCTACTTGGCAATCTTAAGACTATGGACTTCAACTCCCAGAATTCTTAAAGACTTAAAAATTGCTAACGTTTCAAACTTTATTTTGGGGGGTGGGGGTGGGGGTGGGTGATTTGCAAGGGGTGGGAAGCAATGTTGTAGTAATGTATTAATCAGTATTCAGTTAGGGGACATAATGTGTGTATATCCATTGGTGGGATTTTTTTGATAAATCTTTTTTTTTAATGTTTTGGATTTGTTTGGAATTTTGCATTCAACCGGCATATTTTAGACAGACAGATGATAGATATAGATATAGGGATATATATAGAGAGAGAGGGGGGGAGGGAGGGAGAGAGAGAGAGAATATATATATATATGCAAGTTTTGGTGTATTCGGGTATAAAATCTTACATGGGAAAAGACCCGAATACACCAAAACTTGCATACCTCTACCCGTGAAAATCTACGAAAACATAAGCTATTTCGCTCTCATCAGCTAAATATAAATTTGGTATGAAATGGTTTGTCGTGAATGCGACTGCTTGAGGGGTCCTGGATTGGACCTGAAAGGAGAAAGGGAAGCAGTACGCTCCCTCCCATATTGGGGTATACCAGGTGCTTCGATAGAAACACACACATACACACACACACACACACAGAGAGAGAGAGAGAGAGAGAGAGAGAGAGGGAGGGAGAGAGAGAGAGAGATACAGTAGGTATAGAGATAGATATATAGATATACAGTAGGTATAGAGATATACAGTAGATATATATAGTTGCCAAGGTTGGACAGCCCAGTTTTACATAATTGAGGGGAACTATATACTAGGGCTAAAAAGGAAAGCAGGGTTGGGTTTGCCTACTTTGCCAATGTGGGGGGGTCTTATTTGTGGCTATGGCAAGGCCCCTCTTAGACAGAAAGGTGGAGGAACTCTCTGGTAGAAATAGAAATGAAACACTGGACTCCAAACCTCCTGTGGTTTATTCTTCCCAGACACTTAAGTGTTCAAGATTTGAAAATAAATACGCAGTCTTTGGCTGATTAGCAGGCCAAACCAAGAATTCAAAAGCAATTTATTTAAATGTATTCATATAACAGTGTGCTATCCTCATTTTATTTTATTTTTTTGCACGTGCAAACTCAATGAGTGTTGCAATAAAGGCCAGTCCCTTCTTTAGAGGCCTTTGGCCGCTTCCCTTCTTCTAAAGTAAGGCTTTCCAATCTGATGAAGCAGGTCCATTCTGTACCTGAAAAAAAAACTAAGTCCCAGGCAGCAGAGAAAATTGGTGGAATCTGTTTATACAGGATTTGATAAGGGAAATTTCTGCTGACACGCCCCTTCTCAGTTGCACCTTGGACTCGGCAACCTTTAAACTTACTAGTCCTGAATCTATACGCCCTTACACTCAGGAGCTATGATTTACTTATGAGAAGGCTGGTGTTTCTCACCACTTCAGCGGCCTAATGTTTTATGCATCTCATTTAAGAAAGGTTAGGTTCCAAAATTGTGGCTTTGTGTGATATACACTTTCTATGTTTGTAAAACGGTGAATGTGTAATTCGTCTCTAAAGTTAAAATTATCGGCTTAAATTTGCATCACAGTATCTGGTATCTTCTACTGAAAGCTAGCAGAAAACCATACTGCTATTTGGGCCATGTGTTCTTGGCAACACAAGTTCAGGGACCTTATCACCACCCACATTTTAGAACAGAATAGAATAGAATTTTTTATTGGCCAAGTGTGATTGGACACCCAAGGAATTCGTCTTGGTGCATATGCTCTCAGTGTACATAAAAGAAAAGATATGTTCATCAAGAATCATAAGGTACAACACTTAATGATAGTCATAGGATACAAATAAGCAATCAGGAAACAATATCAATATAAATCGTAAAGATGCAAGCAACAAAGTTACAGTCATAAAGTCATAAGTGGAAGGAGATGGGTGATGGGAACAATGAGAAGATTAATAGTAGTGCAGACTTAGTAAATAGTTTGACAGTGTTGAGGGAATTATTTCGTTTAGCAGAGTGATGGCATTCAGGAAAAAACTGTCCTTGTGTCTAGTTGTTCTGGTGTGCAGTGCTCTATAGCATCGTTTTGAGGGTAGGAGTTGAAACAGTTTATGTCCAGGATGTGAGGGGTCTGTAAATATTTTCACAGCCCTCTTTTTGACTCATGCAAGTATTCAGGTCCTCAATGGAAGGCAGGTTGGTAGCAATTGTTTTTTTCTGCAGTTCTAATTATCCTCTGAAGTCTGAAGTGTTATTAATACAATATCATACTTGTCAGTCCGACACAGCCTTCCCAAAGCAATGGTTGAAGGTGGCAATTTGGAAAGCAATAATTCTCACTCCAGTCAGAATTGCTCGGTAGATTTTGATAAAATGTTCCCAAATTTTGAAGTAATGGCTTAAATGGACTGATATGTTCCAATTACACTTAGTCATCACCGGAAATACTCTAGTAAGGGTCTCATTTTTGTTTGCAAACTACAGCGTTTGGCAGTGAAAGATAGCGATGGAAATTTCTTCAAAAAGTAAACATTTACAGTGTCATGGTAGAATATAAATGAGGTTTGTGTGTCTTTATCCTGGATTTATTGTTTAGATTTATATTCTAAGGAAACGGAAAGAATGAACGAACCAGACATCCTTAATTTCCCAGGGAATTTATTATTCTACAGAACTGTTTTTACAGATCAGAAACATTCCCCATTTCCTCCTGATCAGCTGGGACTCGGGAGGCAGAGAATAGATGGGGGCAGGGCCAGTCAGAGGTGGCATTTACCAGTTCTCCGAACTACTTAAAATTTCCTTATCGGTTCTCCAGAACTGGCCAGAACCTGGTGAATACTACCTCTGGTCCAGGGGTGCTATTCAGCAGGTTCTGTAGAACCGGTACCAGAAATTTTGAATTGTTCGGAGAATCGGCAAATACCACCTCTGGCTGGCCCCAGAGTAGGGTGGGAAAGGCGATTTTGCAATATCCTTCCCCCAGGAGTGGGGAGGGAATGGGGATTTTGCAGTATCCTTCCCCTGCCAAGCCCACCAAGGCATGTCCACAGAACTGGTAGTAAAAAAAATTCCACCACTGGTAACGTCCGTTAAGGGAGACACCCCTGCTTGACAACCCATGCCATGCTCTCCCTGATATGGTCATTAAATGAACCTGGGGGTTATTAAGCAGAGCACAAAGGTGCCACAGGCATGGAGAAAAGTCCTGAACCTCCTAAGTCTTCCCCTACCCCCTGGGACACCTTTTGCTCTGCTTCCCATCTCTGGAGATCCGCCCAAAATCTTGGTCCTGTTTCCCCCCACCAGGTCCATGCAGATCTTCTTCCCTGCCACATCAGGTCCCCACAAGGCTTGGATCTCCTCCTCATCCCGTCACCCAACATGCACTTATCTTTTGAAGATCTCTGGAGCTTTCTGCAATGCTGTGCAGACCATGCTAAGGAAGCAAAACAGAACGGTTTATCCCTAGGCCGTGCAACAGCCTCCCGGAAATGGCCACCATTTTCAGCATGCCCATCATTCCCATGCTGGCTGGGGAATTCTGGGAATTGAAGTCCACACATTTTCAAGTGGCCAAGGTTGAGAAACACGGGTAAAGAACTACCAATGCTGAGAAACAAATCAACAGTAAACAACAGCCTAATCAAGGAACCTCCAAGAACATTCCCACCAACACCAACAGGAGAAGCAACTAGAACAGTGATGGCTAACCTTTTTGCTGTCGTGTGCCAAAAGCGGGGGTCGCACCGGGGGGTTGCGCGCATGCCCACACCCATAATTCAATGTGCACTCCCCCCCCGCACATGTGCGCATGACCCCCCACGTTCCCTTTTGGAACATGATGGCATGGTGGGCCTGATAGGCCCATTTTTCCCTCTCCCCAGGCTCCAGAGGCTTTCTTGGAGCCTGGGGAAAGTGGAAAACGAGCCTTCCGGTCCCACCAGAAGTCGGCAAACAAGCCGTTTCCGGCCTCGGGGGGGGGGGGAAAAGGCCGTTTCCCCCTCCCCCAGCCCCCAGAAAGCCTCTGGGAGCTGGGGGAAAGAAAAAAATGGCCCCCCCCCCCTCGAGACCTCCTGGAGGCTAGAAAAAGACTGTCTCCCGACTTCTGATGGGCCTGAAAGGCCCAAAAATCAGCTGGCTGGCACACACATGCACACCAGAGCTGAGCTAGGGCAACACTCGCGTGCCCACTGCTATGGCTTCACGTGCCACCTGTGGCACACGTGCCATAGGTTCGCCATCACGGAACTAGAATATAAAAATAAGACCAAACTCCACTCCCTTCTAGCACTGATGACGTTACCGAATTTGGTAATAAAACGTCTGCAGGAAAACCGCCAAGCTCAGAGAGCACTACAAGCATATTACGTTCAAACCCATCAGGCCTGGTTTAATTTATTGCGCTTTATTTTACATTTATTGCTCTCTGGAGCAGAAGAGATTCATTCTCTCTTTGGTGGGTGAACTCGGTGCCTTCCGCCTTGCCCTTAAAACCTTCTTTTTCCAGCAAGCCGGGCTGGCCTAACACTTTTTAAAATGTTTTTAATTGTTTGTCATTGTTTTTAATCATGGGGCCAAATTTATATATATCTTTTCAATTGTATTTTAATGTTTGTAGTTTATGCTTTTACTTGGCTGTTCACCGCCCTGAGTCCTCAGGGAGAAGGGCGGTATACAAATTTAAAAATAAATAAATAAATAAATAAAAACTCTTCAGCCATTTGAAGACTGCCATCATTATCTCCCCAGTGGTTTTTTTCTATTAGTCAGACATGCTCAGATCTTTTAACTTTTCTTCATATGGCTTGGTTTGCAGATCTTTCTCAGTGACTTCCTCTGAACATTTTCACAATCCTTTCTGAATTGTGGTGGCCAAAACTCGACACAGTATCCCAACTGGGGTCTGCTCACGGGGGAAAAAACTGGACGTGTGGACATATGTCATATTATATTTTAGCTCCAGAAAACCCCACAAATGTATTTCATACAACTATTTGGAAGTTCTGTACAGATAATAAGTAGTGTGGCTTTAAAAAAAAAAAAAAAAAAATCTGACCAGGACTGATTGCAAAGTTTTGAACAAAGTATTTATTCATTTTTTTTTCAGAGAAAACTCAGAAATTCTGACCACGCATGCTTGTGTACGTAGAACATTTTGATAATCATAGCAACATGATGTGACTTTTGAACAATGACGCGTTGCTCGATCTCTCAATAACATAACTAAGTTTAAATCTGACCGAAAGCATCCATGAAGTTTAAAAGAACAGCATAGTTTTCAATCATTTTTTGAGGTATTAAAAATCAAGTACAGCTAGTCCTCAACTTATGACCGCAATTGGGAACCAGAATTTCTCCTGCTAAGCAAGGTGGCTGTTTAAGTGCGTTGGGCCTGATTTTATGAGCTTTTTTGAAATTGTTGTTAAGAAAATCACTGCCGTTGTTAAGTGAGTCACATGGTTGTTAAGCAAATCTGGTTTCTCACACTGACAGTGCTTATTGGAAGCCGTCAGGGGAGGTCGCAAATGGTGATCACAGGACCCCAGGATCAGGGGTGGGTTCTAAAATTTTTTACTATTGGTTCTGTGGGCGTGGCTTGATGGTCATGTGACAATTCTTTAGGATTTAGCAGAGGTACTGGTCTACCAGGCTTTTAACTGCTTGCAGAGCTGTACCTGTCTACCCATTTGTTCTTGGAGCGTCCCGGTCTACCCATTTGTTTTTCGAGCGCACTGGTCTACCACCACACTGTCTTTTAACACTGATCAGCTGTAGGGCGGCCCTTTGAAGCCGCGCAGCAACAGTTTAAACAGTTTTTTTACTTTTAGCCGATCAGCTGCGACTCGGGAGGCAGCAAAAAATTGGGGGCGGGGCCAAATAAAAGGTAAGAATAACGCAGGGGGTGGGGGGGCCAGCTCCCGAACAAAGAGCCTTGGTAGTACAGGGGTTTAAGGCACCCTGTTATTAAGCTGGTTATTAAGACCAGCTGCCTGCAATTACTGCAGGGTTCGACTCTCGCCAAGGCTCAAGGTTGACTCAGCCTTCCATCCTTTCTAAGGTAGGTAAATTGAGGACCCAGTTGTGGGGGAAATAAGCTGACTTTGTATAAATATACAAAAGGATGAAGGCTATTGCTGAGCACATTGTAAGCCGCCCTGAGTCTTCGGAGAAGGGCAGCATATAAATCAAATTTAAAAAAAAAAATTTTTTTTTTTAAAAAAAGAGAGAACCGATTCGGTGACATCATATCGTCACCGCTACCGGCTCGGCCGAACCGGGAGGAACCCACCACTGCCCAGGATGCTGCAACCGTTGGCAATACATCAGATTGCCAAGCATCCAAATTTTGATTATGTGGCCCATGGTGATGCTGCAATGATCATAAGTGCAAGGACCAGTTATAAGTCACTTTTTCCAGTGCTGCTGTAACTTTGAATGGTGGCTAAACGAACGGTTGTAAGTTGAGGACTACTTATACATCATTCAAATCCATATATTTTATTTGCTTTTACAAATCAAAATACCATGATTTCTAAGTTTACACTGCTATGGCTGGATAAAGACAGTGGGGGGATAAAACCACAGTACAAATAATAAAGTCAATTTAATTACATGTATAACTCAATTACTTTGCACATAAATCATAACTTCCAAAAAACTGAAGAATCGCATCAGCTGAATGATTCAGTGAAGGACAATAGGAAAATGCCTTGATTACTTGTATGTAATTATATTCTGCTTACCAAGTACAAAATAGTGTCATCCAGGGGATAAAAGTTTTGGGCGCTCCACGCTGCTACATAAAACCTCTCAAGAAGGGGGCAGTTTTTATTTGCACAACCTGGCATTCTCTGCGAAATTTCCCACTACTATCAAAGAGTACTTCTGAGTTGGATTTACTGTGTCTTCAAAACTCCAGATTTCTTACCCAAAGTTCTTACAAAACACTGAAACTTTTGGAAGATCCAGAGATCTTCAAATTGGGCCTTATCAATACAGCTACCTACAAAAACGGGGTTATGTATTTCACTTTAAAGGAGAATAGTTGTAGCTCAGGGCTAAAATGACTGATGAGGTTACCGAGTTTGTGTAATAAAACCTTTGCAAGAAAACAACCAAGCTCAGAGAGCAGCAAGGACCCCGGATTTCACTTTGTTTTGAACTGCTTTTAAGTGTTTCAGATGCTTCGAAACTGGTAGCAAAAATCCCTGTGCCTCCTCCCCCCACCCCAATGCCCTGCTGAGCCACACAATCATCAGAGGATATTTTTTTTTAAAAAGCATTTTTTCTACAACCTCTTCTGATGAAAAAATGCTTTTAAAAGTAAAAACAAAAAGCCTCCGATGATCGCGCGGCTCAGCTGGGATCGTCAAAGGCTTTTCAAAGCATTTTTTTCTGCAACCTCTTGGCCGAAGAGGTGATAAAAAAAATGCTTTGAAAAGTCTCTGACGAGCCCAGCTGAGTTGCCTGATCGGCAGAGGCTTTTCAAAGCATTAGAAAAAATGCTTTGAAAAGTTAAAAAAAAAAAAAAAGTTGGCCACATCCACCCAGTCACATTACCGCCCCCCCCTCCCCCCACCAAGCCATGCCCACAGAACCAATAGTAACAAATTTTACATTTCACCCCTGGGATACGAGTAAAGGGGAAAGAATTAATTCATTATAATGATCAAACTAGCCATTATGGTTAAGAGCAGGGCTGCTACCCATAAAAGCAGAAGTTGTCCGCTGAATCCCACTTCAATAACACTTAGTAAAAAAAAATTACCAGTATTTAAAAGATTGTAACAGTCTCTTCTTCCCTGGTCTTATTATTGGCAGTTACTGACAAATGGCTAGCACAGAATTATAATGTCCAATTTTCAGTATATAATATTCAATGTTTTCTTGCAGGTATGGAAAGGAGCAGGCCAATCTTCCTAAGTAAGAGTCTTAAAAAAAAATGAAACAAAAAAAAGAAAAAGAAAAACCTAACCAAATTCACTTTTATATTTTTCTTAATGATCCTGTTTTAATGGCAGAAGCAATCCAGCTGTCTTTTCCCCCCCCCCACTTTTGATTCTCTTTTGCATGCTGGCAATATGCCATATAATAATAATTTTTTATACCTTCCCGTAGCCACAAAGCAGCTGGGAGGCGTTTATTTGTCTTTCTGGTTCCTGCCTTTATGGCATTTTCTCCGGATAAAAGTGCAATCGGTCAATAGGTTTATAGCTGTACACACCTATATCTTCTCTATTCCAACTTTCTGTTGGGACAACCAAAACAATCATAGAGACAGAAAATTTCCAGCACCTTGGCAATTTCTTGGTGCCTGGACTTCAAATGCCAGAATTCCTTAGCCAGCACGGCCATTGGTGAGAATTTTGGGAATTGAAGTCCACATATCTGAATATTGCCAGGTTGAAAAACTCTGATTTAGAGAGACTGTCTAGGATTGTATCGACTATGGACATTATGAGAAAGAGATAATCTTTTGATAAGAGTAGACTGATTTGACTTGCAGAGGGTACCCAAGAAAACACTGGTTGGTTTGGGGCTAGTCCTAATCCAGGCGTGTCCAAACTTGGCAACTTTTAAGAACTATGGATTTGTCTCTGGAGATTCTCAGTACAGAATTCTCAGATAAACTCCCAAGTGGCCTCAAGAGCTCTCAGGGAGAGTGCTAATGACCAGATGACTGCAAAGGCATATGATCCTTCCAAACACCCCCACCCCATCCTATCAGAACTAATCCTTCCATTGCCCCACCATCCTGCCAGAATCAATGAAGCTTCTTGGATGAGAAGCAAAATGTCTTCTTCTTCTTCCTTAAGGGAAAAACAGTTCAGTTGCCTTTTGAAAAAGCACCTTTGAGACAACTGTGAACTTCAACTCCCAGAATTCCCCAGCCACCCATGTAGGGGAATTCTGGGAATTGAAATCCAGAACTCTTAAAGTTGCCAAGGTTAGATACTCCTACCCTAATCCTTAGGCAGGAGCAACTGCATTGTAACCAATGAAGTTAATTCACGTTCACTTGATTCCCAGAATTTTTTTTTAAAAAATCTAAACAGATTTTTTTAAAAAAGACACTTTAAAAGAAAGAATTTGTATAATACTGTCAAATTCTTTTTTTGGACCATAAGAAAGGCTGAGTGCCAAAGAACTGAGGCCTTTGAACTATTGTGCTGAAGAAGACTCTTGCGAGTTCCTTGGACTGCAAGGAGATCAAACCGGTCAGTCCTAGAGGAGCTCAACCCTGACTGCTCTTTAGAAGGCCAGATCCTGATGGATCTGGCCTCCTAATGAGAAGGAAGGAGTCACTGGAGAAGAGCCTAATGCTGGGAAAGATTGAGGGCAAAAGCAGAACTGAACAACAGAGAATGAGGTGGCTGGATGGAGTCACTGAAGCAGTCGGCGTGAGCTTAAATGTACTCCGGGGGATGGGACAGGAAGGCCTGGAGGAACATTGTCCACGAGGTCGTGATGGGTCAGACACAACTTCACAACTAACAACAGCAACATAATAATGTCAATGAAGAAATAGGGCTTCCTACTTTACTGCAGGCATCCCTGCCCATGGAGGTTAATCGACTGGATCAAGGGATCCCTTTAATGACTATTTCCCACTGATTGTGTTATGACCAGAATATCAACTATGCATGTTTCTTTCATAATTGTCGTATTTTTGTGGATAACTTAAATTGCTGATGGGCCATATGGGCTGATCTTTGTTCAATAGCTGTACAGAAGCCAAAGATTCAATGTTCAAGTTACAAATACAGTTGCTGAGAACATCAATGACTGGAAATGCCCTTATTTTAAGTAACCAATAAAAATGATAGTAGTGGAAAAACGGAATTATGAGTGTCTTTGACCTTGATTGGATAAAGCTCTCTGGTTCTGTTTTAAAAACTCCCAAGGCTTTGGAAGGAACATAAAGTTAAAAAAAATAATTAAGCTATATGTAAGACAGGTTCTGTATCTGCTAAGCAGAGCAAAGAGCTTCCACTTATTTGCCTTGCTCAACTATAATTTCTCTAATGTCTTGATAAATTAGACACCCTCGACACCTGAAGTGGTAAAAGTGGAAGAAGATAAATTAGAAAATTTATTTTTTGTTCAGCTATGAACCATGGGCACAAAGAACAGTCCCTAGCATAGTACATACTACTACATGTATCGAGACTGAAAGTGACGGAATTCCCAAGCAAAAGATCATTGGAGTCTTCAAGAAGTAAGTTTCTTTCTTTCCTTTACTTACTCCTGACTCTTTCTTATTTCTCCATATTCTCTAGCATCCTTCCTTCCACATAAAGTAGGTCTTCTAAAAACCTACCGTATTTTTCGGAGTATAAGGATATAAGACACACCTACCTTTTTTGGGGAGGAAAACAAGGGGGGAAAAAATCTGCCTCTGCCTCCCAGCAATTTGCCTCCTTGCAGCAAACAGTAAACAGCCTATTTGAGTTTCATTTTCAGCACAGGCTGATTAGCACAAGAAAAAAAAATCTGCCTCTGCCTCGCAGCAATCTGCCCCCTTGCAGCAAACAACCCATTTCAGCTTCAGCTTCAGCACAGCCTGATTAGAACAAGCAGCTGATTGTCGGTTGAATCAGCGTCCCGAAGATCACCTGCTTCAGGCTGCAGGGATTGCCATAGCCTATTGTCGCCTCCGCGTGTCCCATTTTTCGGGGGGCGGGGGGGCAGGGCTACATTCAGTGTATAAGATGCAACAAAATTTACACCCTCTTTTATGGGGGAAAAAAGTGTGTCTTATACTCCAAAAAATACGGTATATACAGTCTTTGAAAGCACCATCAACTCATTATAGAATAGAATAGAATAACAGAGTTGGAAGGGACCTTGGAGGTCTTCTAGTCCAACCCCCTGCCCAGGCAGGAAACCCTATACAACTTCAGACAAATGGTTATTCAAAATCTTCTTAAAAATTTCCAGTGTTGGGGCACTCACAACTTCTGCAGGCAAGTTGTTCCACTTATTAATTGTTCTAACTGTCAGAAAATTTCTCCTTAGTTCTAAATTATTTTATTATTATTTTTTATTTGCTTCTCTCCTTGATTAGTTTCCACCCATGATTAGTTTCTACCCATTACTTCTTGTTCTACCCTCAGGTGCTTTGAAGAATAGCTTGACTCCCTCTTCTTTGTGGCAACCCAAGATATTGGAACACTGCTATCATGTCTCCACTAGTCCTTCTCTTCATTAAACTAGACATACCCAGTTCCTGCAACCTTTCTTCATATGTTTTAACCTCCAGTCCCCTTATCATCTTTGTTGCTCTTCTCTGCAGTCTTTCTAGAGTCTCAACATCTTTTTTATGTCGTGGCGACCAAAGCTGAATGCAATATTCCAAGTGTGGCATTATAAAGTGGTATTAACACTTCACGTGATCTTGATTCTATCCCTCTGATTCTATCCTACAATCTTTCTTTTCAGTTCTATCAAATGCTGAAATATATATTGACCCTCACAGGCCAGCCCTAAATTAAAAATATTCTAGTTGCAATAATACCAGCCAGCAATCTTTCCCAATACACAGGCCTTGAATAAACTATTTTGGGATTCCTTGGTACAGATTGAAACGCAGCCTATAAATGCCGTCCTAAACAAAACAAGATCAAACATATAATTTCAAAAAGGAAACTCTTGAGCACAGGGAGAGAAATGTTCTTATATGTTGAAATCACAGGAATTGGGAGAAAGTTATATACTTACTTGCTTATGTACATTTTTACCACTCAATATTTAGCGTGATCCATCACGTCATATAAGTAGTAGGTCATAGAAGAATGAACTTTAAAGGTGATAATTCCCTATTAAAAAAAAAAAACCAACTGCAAAAATTTACCACAGGAGAAAAGAAAATGGCTGGCCACACATCACGACTTTTAAAAAAGAGAGGCCACGAGTATATGGGCTGTGAGCATGTTTTGTTGTCACATGCTTATGGAAGGAATCCCAGGAAGACCAAAAGATCTCACACTGTGGTGTCTTGTAATTGCAAACATCACAAGGGCGAGGAAACCTACATGTCCAATAGTGTAGTTGGGGCAGAGATGAATCCAAATTCTTGTCTTCAGGACCAATGACAACATAGGATGAGAAGTCGAGGACATGATGGCATCTCCCTATGAAAGTCTGCCTCAAAGTTGAAGAACCACCATTCTAGATTCTTCCTGCAACAAGGAAAATGGCCGCCAGACCTTGCTGTACCAAAGCAACAAACCCCGTCCCGGCATTATTTAAATTTGCACCGTGTTTGTTTCAGTCCGTTTGTTTTTAGCTTGGTATCTGCCGAGGCTTTTTTGGGAGGCGTGTAATTATTCGTCTTTCCATTCTTGGGATTTGGGCATATATGGGCTGGCAACCCCTTAAGGGGGACAGTGGACCCATGGAATGAAGAAGATGGTTTGGGAGGTCTCATGTTACCAGCTCCATGGATCATGGAGGATTCCTGGATCTCAAAAGAAGGCATACTGGCCAAATGCTGCTTGTGGGCAGGCCGCTTTTTGGTCTCTTTCTTTGCTTCAGATGGTCTCCTCTGATGACCTGATGAGCCTTGGATGAGTCCAGTGGCCTTCAACGGACTCTCAAGGGATGTCATCTGGTTGGCTTTTTCTCCATGAAAATCTTTTTTGGGACCTGCATTGGGGAGTCTTGAAAAGTTTCCAGGGAGAGTCAACTGTTTATTTGCTGAAGGGCTGTGCAATAATTTGCTTTTGCCAGAACTTTTCAAGGACCGGAGGACGGTAGGAGCAGTCTGAGCCCGAGCTTTGTTTACCTTTCCTTTCTCGGCTTGTACGGTTTGCATTTGCAGCCATTCCAACTCCAAAAGACGATCCACGTATTTTTCAAGAAATCCAGTCGGTTCCGGCCTGGGTTCTGATTTGCACTCGGTGTTGATGAACGCAGCCAACCCTTTCAAGTCCCAGGTGTTAAAAGGTGGTGGGAGAAAGTCTGGGTAATGGTAGTCTGGTTGCTTCCGTTGCGTCTCGAAGTGGTATTCAAAGCAAACCGGGTCGATCTCTTCTGCTCGCAGATTGAGCTCTGGCGGTGTGCAAGGCGATGGAGGGATAGGAATTCTTTCAGAATCGGAAAGGTCACTGGCATCGTCTTCCTCAGAGTCTTCCTCTTTCATCATTTGCAAAGATCCGAAGTCCAGAAACATTGCCTCTTGACAGGAAAGACTGCTCGGGCCTGCTTCCTCCACCTCCTCCCCAGAGTTTCTTTCCAAATTGCCTTTTCGTCTGCAATAAAACCTCTGAATTGTCGTACCTTCTGTCCCGCTGGAAGGACTCCACAAGACATCTTTAAATGCAGGAAGAATTTTGTTGTCCCCGGCCTCATGACTTTTTCTAAACAGAAGTTCTCTTTTCAACTTGGGCACTCTAATGTGAGGAAGTATAAGTGTTTGTGTTAGTACAAGTGTTTGTTAGTACAAGCCAGTACAAGTGTTTCCCCAAAAAGGGAAAGAAAAAAATATTCATGTCAGCTTTAAAAAGATCCTAAACCAATCTATCTGACTCTACTCTAAGACCCTTGGGAGCCTAACATTACAAAACAGAAAAAGAGAAAACACAAAACGTACCAATAGATGAGTAAGGTATTGATATCAACAAGCATAAGGGGTCTTTGGTGCTCTCTGAGCTTGGTTGTTTCCTTCAAAATGTTTCATTACCCAAACCAGGCAACATCACCAGTGCCTGATGATGTTGGTGATGTTCTACCTAATTTGGATAATGAAATGTCTGCAAAAAAACAATCAAGCTCAGAGAGCACCAAGGACCACTCATCTTAACCCTGAGCTACAAATATTCTCCTCTATCAGCAATAAAAGGAGCCTGAATGGCTCAACAGACAGAGCTCTGTAATTTAACACCAGCTGTCTGCAATTAAAGTAAGATCGAATCCCGCCAGGCTCAAGGTTGACTCAGCCTTCCATCCTTTCTAAGGTAGGTAAATTGAGGACCCAGTTTGTGGGGGCAATAAGCTGACTTTGTATAAGTATACAAAAGTATGAAGGCTATTGCGTAACGCATTGTAAGCTGCCCTGAGTCTCCGGAGAAGGGCAGCATATAAATCAAATTAAAATAAAAAGGAAAAAAAAACGTTTAAACAATATCTTTGCAACAATTCACCAACATTTAAAAGAGCCTTGGTGGCGCAGCGGACTAAAACTGCTGTTAAAGTAGCACTTAACTGCCAGCTGCCTGCAATTACTGCGAGTTCAATTCTCACCAGGCTCAAGGTTGACTCAGCCTTCCATCCTTTCGAGGTAGGTAAAATGAGGACCCGGTTTGTGGGGGCAATAAGCTGACTTTGTATAAAATAGAACACCGCTTGGGGGTAGGGGGGGCAAAAAGCTCTACTAAGCAGGTATATACAAAAGTAAGAAAGCTATTGCTTAATGCATTTTAAGACGCCCTGAGTCTCCGGAGAAGGGCGGCATATAAATCGAACCAATAAATAAATAAATAAATAAATAAATAAATAAATAAATAAATAAATTTAGCACAAAGCTCCTTTTTCTTTTTCAAATTTGCTATTACATTTTGCTTTTCAAGTTAAAGGCAAGGAAACATTACAATGATTTCAATCTCCCATTATTTACATAATTCACTAAGCAATCTTAGTCCACTACCTCATTTTAAGCCTAACCTGCTTGCTTAGGACTGCTGAAAATATTAAAGTGAGAAAGCCATCTATATAATGACCCTAAGTGGAACTGGCATTTCCATTGTTAAGAAATGTGTTAGGAGACACATCCTATGATTGCAATGCTTAGTGACGGGAGGTCACTCAGCAAGGGGTTGGAGTGGAAGACCTCCAAGGTCCCTGCCAACTCTTATTATTCTATGTTCTACAGTCATGGCCAAAATTGTGGAAACCTTTTGGGAAAAGTGTATTTTTGAGGTTTGACGGCTGATAACACCACTTTTTTTTTTTTTTTTTTTTTTTTTTTTTGCGTTTCAAGATAATCATATTCCACTGCTGGAATGGCCTGGAATAGCCCAGACCTTAACCCAATAGAAAATCTATGGAGCTGAATAAAGAAACTTGTTAGTCAGAAGCGACTCAGCAATAAAACCCAGTTAAGAGAAGCAATCATTCAATCTTGGTTTCACATTATAACAGCTGCAGAACTCAAAGACTTGGTTCACTCCATGGGAAGACGTTGTAAGGCCGTAATTCATGCTAAAGGTTACCCAACTAAGTATTAACTGACATGGTGATAATTTTTCTATATCTCGTTTTTTCTACGTGTTTCACTTTTCTTTTTTATACTGTAACTGCTATTCTAATAGCAAATCCTTCATAAAAGTTATTGCATTACATTCTTGATTAAATTATCTTTCCATTGATATATAATTTTATGGTACTACTACTACTACAAAAAAGTGGTGTTATTAGCTAGTTTTAAAAAATATACTTTTCCCAAAAAGTTTCCACACTTTTGGCCGCTACTGTAGGTCTGGTAGTCCTGATTGCAGTCATTAAGCCAGGACTATGCCATTGTTAAACAAGCACTTTACATTTCTCCTGCTCTGCTCCATCTGCCTATCTCTTGCTCGCCCCACCAATCTCTGTCCTCTTGGTTGTCCTGCACTCTACTGCCACCCCTGATAGATAGATAGATAGATAGATAGATAGATAGATAGATAGATAGATAGATAGATTTCCTATTTTAGAATCTAACGATTTTTAATAATAATTTTTTTTAAGGAAGAAAGAGAAAAAAAATGTCAGCTGGCAACTTTTCACCAGTGGCTTCTAATTCCTTAACCTAAACATACAAAATAAAATAGGTGTAACTTTTTTTTCAGATATCGACGTTGATTACTGGTTATTACCATTATAATGTATAACAGAAATAACACAGTTGCCTAGGATTAAAGCAGGGGTGAAATCTACTTACTTTCCCTACCGGTTTGAAGTGTGTGCGCACGTCAAGTGCGCGCGCCGACCCTCTGCACATGGGCAAACCCTTCTGCGTATGCGCAGAGGGTAAATATCAGGTTACTTCCTGGTTAAAACCAGGAAGTAACGACGACTTGGTGGGTCGAGCTGCCATCGCTACCGGTTCTCCGAACCACCGGCCGTCATCGCTACCAGTTCGGCTAAACCAGGCTAAACCGGGAGCATTTCACCCCTGGATTAAAGGCATAGTAGTAGATGTTTCCACCAGGATAAATTATATTCAGGGTGCTTAAAATTCCACAAATCCAAAAGAAGAGTCACAAGTTTTGCTCTTTCAGATACAGCCCTTTTGCACTGCATTGAATGATTTTCTAACTCACAGGTGTCAAACTTGCTGTGTCATGTTGCCATCACGTGATGTTTCACGGCATTTTTCCCATTCGCGGAGCTGAGGTGGGTGTGGCCTGCACATGACGCATCTGGCCCGCGGGCCACCAGTTTGACACCCCTGCTCAAATTTTTATGACTTTTCTTTCAACAGAGATCAAGGTGTTCTGGTGAGAAAGCAGGGCCTAATAACCTGTACTCCTTGACTTACAGGTACTCCTCGACTTAATAACACTTCATTTAATGACCATTCAAAGTTACAATGGCACTGAAAAAAAGCGACAAGACCATTTTTCACACAACGGTTGCAGCACCCCCATGTGATCAAAATTCAAACTCTTGGCAACTGACTCATATTTATGACGGCTGCAAGGTCCCGGGTCATGTGATCACCTTTTGCAACTGTCTGACAAGCAGTCAATGGGGAAGCCAGATTCACATAACAATCATGCTACTAATTTAGCAACTACGGTGATTCATATAACAACTGTGGCAAGCAAGGTCATAAAACAGGGCAAAACTCACTTAACAGCTGCCTCGCTTAGCAACAGAAATCTGAGGCTCAATTGTGATCATACGTCAAGGATTACCTGTGCTAAGATGCTTAGTGCCGCGTTCTGGAATCAGCACTCAAGGTAAGAATGTCACCCAGCGCTCTGAACTCTCATCCAGAAGAATTAAAGAGTTCTCTCATCTGATGGCATCTATTTTCATCGTGATGATCATTATATCAGTATACATCACTGTTCAAGGCAATCAAAGTTTTTTCAGTACTAATCCTTAAGGAAATCAATCCCAGGAAATTGGCATCATCCAACCAGAACGGAAAAGGATATTACCCAGTGATCACGGAGGTTGTATTTTCAACTGATCAGTACCTCGATTATACTTTCATATCCCACCCTTTTTTACAATTTAGAGTAACAGAGCTGGAAGGGACCTTAGAGGTCTTCTAGTCCAACCCCCCTGGTTAGGCAGGAAACCCTACACCACTTCAGACAAATGGTTATCCAATCTCTTCTTAAAAACTTCCAGTGTTGGAGCATTCACAACTTCTGCAGGCAAGTTGTTCCACTGATTAATTGCTCTGTCAGGAAATTTCTCCTTAGTTCTAAGTTGCTTCTCTCCTTGATTAGTTTCCACCCATTGATTATTGTATTATTGTATTTTTAAAACTATTGTATCTCCCTTTATCCATTCCCAACTCCCTGTGAAAAACAAATCTACTTCTTATTCCAAAAGTGCAACCATATAAAAAAAAAAAAGAACTTCACCTGTTTGGTTGATGCTCTTCATAAACTTGCTTTTTCTCTTTGAATTGAGCTGTTATCTTTCTGTCTGTAGCCTCTACGGGAGCCTAAAAAATGAATTAACATTTAATTATAATTGCAGTGGTAGGGAAGACAGGAGCATTTAAGGATAATTTGCATTCAGTAAAAATATAAGTAGTCTAACCTTTTCTGCAATAGCAGATGTGTTTTTCGCTGGCTTCTTGGAAGAAGGTTTCAGAAACGTTGATTTCTTTAGTTCTTTTGTGCTTGAGTGGTTCTTTCCTCCACTGGAACTAGTTGATTAAAAAGAGGAATTTTGTCAAAGATGGATGTTACGTGGGGAATCAAAAATTACACCTTTATTTTAACAGGACAAGTTTACATGTATATTGTTCTTTTTTCTTTAGAAATCTCTTAATTTTTTTCTGGTGATTATTCTCATAAAAAGCTTATTTAAGAAAGAAATATATAGCACTTTCATGGAAGCAAATCCATTCCTCTTTCTCTCCTGTGAAATGTGTATTCATGTGAATTAAATGGGTGGACATTGATAGGACAATGATGATGAAACATTTACAAAAACGTCTAAACTTCCATTTTCTAATGCATGATTAGATCAAGATCTCTCTCCCCCTACAATCAAATAAATATCTGACATTAAAAAGAGATTAAAGGAATTTGGAATTTAGAATATCAGAGTTGGAAGGGACCTTGGAGGTCTTCTAGTCTGACCCCCTGCTCAGGCAGGAAACCCTATACCATTTCAGACAAATGGTTATTCAATCTCTTTTTAAAAACTTCCAGTGTTGGAGCATTCACAACTTCTGGAGGCAAGTTGTTCCACTGATTAATTGTTCTGACTGTCAGGAAATTTCTCCTTAGTTCTAGGTTGTTTCTCTCGTTGGTTAGTTTCCACCCATTTCTTCTTGTCCTGCCCTCAGGTGCTTTGGAGAATAGCTTGACTCCCTCTTCTTTGTGGCAGCCCCTGAGATATTGGAACACTGCTATCATCTCATCCCTAGTCCTTTTTTTGATTAAATTAGACAAGGAAAGAAGGTTAGTATTGTCAAGTCTCTGAACAACCTCCTATGCAATCTCTTGTACTATAATATATTTTAAAAGTAACTGGGACACTAATCAGCTCATGGAAAGAACCCAACCTTTGACTGAATAATCTGTAAATCAATAACTCGGGAACTACTGTACAAGGCATAGGGCTTTGTTAGTTGACATCTATCTGCCTGAAATTTGGATCCTGCAACATTGACACACTCCTCGTTCCTTGAATTAAATAAAGTCATCTATCAGAATTCCATTAGGAAAAAAAAACCCCATTGGATAAGCTGGATTCATTAAATGACCATCTGATTCTCTTAGCCATTATAAAATGGTTGTAAAATCAGGCGTAGTCAAATGGTGACCCACTTAACAACTGCAACAACTTACAACCAACCTTTCGGCTTAATTTGTGGCCATACATCAAGAACTACCTGTATTTATTTTTTGTGTTTTATTGATTTTATTGCAATTATTTTGTTCCATTGTCGTGAGTCACCCAAAGTCACTGATAATCAAGTGGTATACAAGTTTCTCATCATCATCATCCAGATCTAATTGGTTTTGGACCCAATTCTTTCTGGTTGATTTCTAATGCTGGGAAAGATTGAGGGCAAAAGAAGAACGGGATGATAGAGAATGAGGTGACTGAATAGAATCACTGAAGCAGTAGGCGTGAGCTTAAATGGACTCCAGAGGATGGTAGAGGACAGGAAGGCCTAGAGCAGTGATGGCTAACCTTTTTGCCATCGCATGCCAAAAGCGGGTGGAGTGCAGGGTGGTCGTACGTGTGTGTACCCACACCCATAATTCTATGCACCCTGCCCCCCCCATGCATGCGCACGCAACCCTCCCGTGCTCCTTCCTCTTTTGGCATCTGATGGCATGGTGGACCCGGTAGGCCCATTTTTCGCCCTCCCCAGGTTCCAGAGGCTTTCTAGGAGCCTGGGGAGGGCAAAAACAGCCTTCCCCACCTCCCCGGAGGCCCTCCGGAGGCCAGAAACAGCCCGTTTGCCAACTTCTGGTGGGCCCAGAAGGCTCGAAAATCAGCTGACCAGTGCATGCATGCGTGCTGAAGCTGAGCTAGGGCAACGTTCACGTGCCCACCAATATGGCTCCGCGTGCCACCTGTGGCACGCGTGCCATAGGTTCGCCATCACGGGCCTACAGGAGCATTGTCCATGGGGTTGCGATGGGTCGGACACGACTTTGCAACTAACAACAACAACAACTCTTTCTGGTCTGTAATTTCTGCTCGGAAATCTGTTGCAAGTGGGATTCATATATCCAAGTGCTTTCCTCATAAAATATCAAGGAAAGACATGAAGGAAAACTTAAGGAGCTTTTTAAGTACCGTTTCGCAGCAGATGCCACCTTGGCTTGTTTAGAAATCTAAGTCGGGTCTGGGTTGATCTGTGCTTGGATGGGAGATCATTAGGAAATACCAGAAATATAGACTAGGTTGTGAAAAGTGAAAAGAATCCACGTCCATATTAAGCAAAATAATAATAATAATCTCAAGTATATGTTTATAAGTCATGCCTGACCAGAAGATTAATACTTTTTTAATTTAACTTATATTCTTGTGAGGGTTTGCAAGGGTAAAAAGATGAATCTCTCACTTTTCTGAGACTTCAACTTCCAGAATTCCAAGCTGCATAGCCTCCAATTCCAGGAATTGCAATCCAGCAACATAGAAGAAGCTGGATTCAGAAACACAGGTGTCTAGGCTGGCTGGGGAATTCTGGATGTGGAAGTCCAGAGATCTTAAACTTGCCAAGATTGAAGAAGATTGCTATAAATATTAGCCATTGGGATTACCTGAGAGGCATGAGCACTGATGCCTTTGCTGGTATACCAGGAAATGTTCTGTTTTTTGGCAATCTTCAACATTGCAAAACCCCTTTAGACCTTAAAAAAACCTCATCTGGCAATTTATCCCCTAATATAAACACTGGATACCTGTGGCTTGTTTTTCTCACCTTCTTCTGAATATGGAGCAGCTATTCCGCTCCCAATACTAACAAGGTTTCTGCAGAATAGAGACTATCTCAAAATAACTAGCACTGGGGGTTGAGGGGGAGAGATCTTAAACTTGCCAAGACTGAAGAAGACTGCTATAAATATTAGCCACTGGGATTACCTGAGAGGCATGAGCACTGATGCCTTTGCTGGCATATCAGGAAATGTTCTGGTTTTTGTTTTTGTTTTTTGCAGTCTTCAACATTGCAAAACCCTTTTAGACCTTAAAAAAACCTCATCTGGCAATTTATCCCCTAATATAAACACTGGATACCTGTGGCTTGTTTTTCTCACCTTCTTCTGAATATGGAGCAGCTATTCCGCTCCCATACTAACAAGGTTTCTGCAGAATAGAGACTATCTCAAAATAACTAGCACTGGGGGTTGAGGGGGAGAGATCTTAAACTTGCCAAGACTGAAGAAGACTGCTATAAATATTAGCCACTGGGATTACCTGAGAGGCATGAGCACTGATGCCTTTGCTGGCATATCAGGAAATGTTCTGGTTTTTGTTTTTGTTTTTTGCAGTCTTCAACATTGCAAAACCCCTTTTAGACCTTAAAAAAAACCTCATCTGGCAATTTATCCCGTAATATAGTGTTTCCCAAACTTGGCTATTTTAAGATGCATGGACTTCAATTCCCAGAATTCCCCAACCAGTATGCCTGGTTGAGGAATTCTGGGAGTTGAAGTCCATACATCTTCAAAAGGTCAAGTTTGGGAAACACTGCTGAATAAACACCGGATACCTCTGGCTTGTTTTTCTCACCTTCTTCTGAACACGGAGCAGCTATTCCCCTCCCAATACTAACAAGGTTTCTGCAGAATAGAGACTTTATCTCAAAATAACTAGCATTGGGGGTGGGGGGGAGAGATCTTAAACTTGCCAAGATTGAAGAAGACTTTATCTCAAAATAACGAGCATTGGGGGTAGGGGGGAGAGAGAGGAAACGACATCAATCACTTAGCAAAATTTCTCTATGCTCAGCGATTAAAAATAGCCTGGACTGCAAGCATCGAACGAAAAGCCTAGAAAAGGGATGCTAGAGGGGAAACTGTACTGACAGAAATTCAGCCTTTCGCCCCCGAACTTCGGGAAAACACAAGCCATCCACCTGCATGCATCTTCCAAAACGAGGCATCCTTACGTTACCATTCCGCTCCCTTCGTGGCTTTCATGAACCAGGTTTTGCAGGCTCCCTCTGTGCAGGGAGACGGGATAACCTCCGATGCCCGGTCCCATTATAGGGGGGGGATGCGCTTTAGTTTTTTTTTTCCCTCCGGGTCGTTGCAAGCGAGGCAGCCCAAATCAGGGGGAAGCCCCTCGCTGCATCTTATACGGAGCCGCTGCAACCCCCTGGCCCGCTTCTCCGAGCGGCTTCATTCCTCCGCACGGGGAGCTGCGTTGCATCGCCGCTGTTCGGCTGGCATCATCAGCGCAGAAGCCAGTTTCCCCGGCGGCTTCAGCCACAGCGTCGGCTCCCAGGATCGCCGTCCGCGTCCTCCATCGCTACCTGCCGGCCCCTCGCCAAGCCTGGCCAGCCGAGAAGCCCTCCCTGAGACGCGCGCGCGCGCGACCTCCCGCCACCGTCGTCTCCCCCGGGGAAGCTCAGCCTTGTCGCCCGCAAAGCATTGTGGGCGGCGGGGGAGGCCTGCGTCGCCCCCAGCGGGTAGGGGGGGAGTGAGGGACGGGGGGGGGGAGCGCGCGCGGTCTCTGCTGCTAAGCCTTCATTCGCCTAACCATGGTTTACCGAAGGAGCCCACAGCATTGCGTAGCCAGGCAGCCTGGGGACAATGCTCCATGTTTCTCCCCCCCCCCACACACACACACACCTGTAATAAAACGACCTTGTGACTAACTTGTCACCCAGAGAACTTTGGCAGCCAGGATTGGGGGTTTGTGTGGAAATGACATGGGTTTTGTAATTTGTTAACTAACATCGTTAGTTAACTAACAAATAATATCTCAGGGGCTGCCACAAAGAAGAGGGAGTCAAGCTATTCTCCAAAGCACCTGAGGGCAGGACAAGGAGCAATGGATAGAAACTAATCAAGGAGAGAAGCAACTTAGAACTAAGGAGAAATTTCCTGACAGTGAAAACAATTAATCAATGGAAGAACTTGCCTCCAGAAGTTGTGAATGCTCCAACACTGGAAGTTTTTGAGAAGATGTTGGATAGCCATTTGTCTGAAGTGGTGTAGGGTTTCTTGCCTAAGCAGGGAGTTGGACTAGAACACCTCCAAGGTCCCTTCCAACTCTGTTATTCTATTCTATGGTTACTTTGTATTTTAATTTATTTTCTCTCTTTTAAAATGATGTTCAGGTTCATTAGCTTTTGACATTCCTAGATAAACAAGCTGGAGACTAGCTCCAGATAAGAAAAAGTTTGTTAGTGCAAATTGGGCCCTGGTTTATCTCTTTTGTGAACTCCAAATAACCTTTTTCCTGACAATTATGCCCCTTCTGAGGTCAGACCTTATTTTAATAATTATTTTAATAATAATAATAATGTGTGTGATATTTTGGGATGCAAATATGTAACATGTTTGAGATCAAACCTGACTGCTCTTTAGAAGGCCAGATCCTGAAGATGAAACTCAAATACTTTGGCCACCTAATGAGAAGGAAGGACTCACTGGAGAAGAGCCTAATGCTGGGAAAGGTTGAAGGCAAAAGAAGAAAGAGACGTCAGAGAATGAGGTGGCTGAAGCAGTTGGCGTGAGCTTAAATGGACTCCAGAGGTTGGTAGACGACAGGAAGGCCTGGAGGAATGTTGTCCATATGGTTGCGATGGGTTGGACACGACTTCGCAACCAACAATAACAACAAACTGATTTCCTATGCAAAGGGGAACTTACTTTTACCCTGTCCAATCAATTTTCATCTAGCATTTTCTTTGTTAATTATAAAAGAGTGAAATATGGGGCTCGAGGTTCTCTCCTTTTTCATAGAGAGATAACACTTTATCAGGTACCCTAATAAACCATTTTAAATGATCTTCCGACTCAGTTGCTTATTAGGAAGGTAAACTGAGGTAGAACCTAGGCCAGATTTGGCTTTCAAGGATGAACTTAAACCTGGATCTTCCAAGTTCAAGTAGAGCACTGTAACCATGTAATCATGGATGCTTGCTGGGAGCAGTGATCTCATGTGCCATGCAGTTGTGTAGATGAGGCCATTTGTAGATGACCGTCTGCTGTCCTTATGACTTGTACTAGGTTGCTCTCGAGATGCCTCTTTTTTGAATGAAGGCAAATATACATGCTCCAGGATAAAGATGTCAGATCGAATTTGGGTCGGTCACCAGGACCAGAGATTTACTCTTCCGATCTGCTTCTTTCTCCCTAAATTGGTTGAGTTCATCATGCCCTGCGCTAAACTGTAAACTAACCAGATTATAAAGGAATTAACCATGGGTCTTGGCGGAGAGGAAGGAGCCTTTAAGAAAGGGACCTGGAGACGCAATTATATAGTCCAGAGGTTGAACCACGTATGAGAAAGAAGCTCAAAGCTTTATTTTTGTACGGTATAAAAACAAGGCTGTCCAAATTTATCCAGTCATGTAGGGGTGCAGGAGCCTGGCAGCTATGTTCTAGGAGGCACTTTCCATTTAATTTAGGCAATCAGAAAAACCTCCAAGAGGCCTGCCTTTCATCCATATAAAAATAGGAACCATATTTTAAGCAGCCATCCACAACCAGCTGTCTTTGAGATGGGCTGGACTACAGCTTTCTTCATCCTCAACCCACATAGCCATATTTAGGGATTTATATTTAAGCACACAATGGGCTCCAGGCTGGGGAATATTGGTGTAGTAGACTTCTGAAGGATCTTCTGCAATGCACAGGAATTCCCAGCCTTTGGGTGCAATAATGGTAAAACACATTTTTGCTTTTATCTCCTGAAAAAAAAGGGGGGGGGGATACATGATAAATGAACAGCAAAACCTGGCAGATTACATGATTTACTTTCTGCATGTGAAATTCTCTGCCACCACCTTAAAATCTAATTATGATATGCTAATCGAAGGGAGCTAGTGAGACAGAGTCGCACAAACTGGAGCCCAATTTGAAGCAGTTAATCTGAATGTGTTAATCCCCAATTTAAAACAGTGCTGCTTTTTAAGAAATCAGTTGGGAAAAGATACTTGGCAAAGAAGTTTAGGGTGTCAATCCATTAAAGAGACCAGAGAAATGAGAAAGTATGAAGGCAGCTCACTTCAAAGCATATTTAACTCCTTGGAGTTAAAAAAAAGCCAACTTTTAGGTCAGTATGCTTCAAACTGCATCAGTCTGGTCATAAAACACGTCAGTCCTCTGACTTTCTTCAATCAGCTTCCTTTTTTTTTTTTCCTTTTCCTTTTCTTTTTTTTTTTTTTTTTTCGGTGACCTTTCGTAACCCATAATTGCTCCGCCTCTTTCTTTTCATCAGATTCCTCCAGGTAGTGCGGGCAAGACAAAAAGGGCGCGGTGGGCTTCCTCCGTGCTTCTGCGCAGGCGGGGCGCAAAGTATGACAGATTAAAGCGACGACGCACAAGGCGGGACAAGGAGGTACCGTAACTAAGCGGCTACAGCACTACAGCGAGGGGTTGGCAGCAGCCCGTGACGTCACAGGGGGCGTGCACGTAAGTCCTCCGGTTGCAGCAGCGTTTTTATTTTCCCTTCCTCCTCAACCTCTTTTTTTTTCTTTTTGCACGTCAGCTGATCAGCTCCAGTAAGCAAAAGATCGGAAGCCGCCGGTTGCTCGCCCGCCGCTCCCTTCTCGGTGCTGCTTGTTGCTCTGGAACTGAACACGGGTCGCCGCAGAAGAAACCAGCACCGTCCACCCGAGGGGACGCGGAAAATAACCCCCCCCCAGAGCTGGGCTGCATGTCGACTCCAGCAGCGTCTCCCATTACAGACCCCATCTCTAGTTCGTGCCCCAGCTTCACCGCCTCTTCTTCCACCACTGTCATCAGCACCGTTCAAGCTGACAGCCTCCAAGCTCCCAGAGACTCCTTCCAGACTCCTTCCAGCTTGCCCAGCAGCCTCGATTCCCTCTCTCTGCAGCCCAGCCAACTCCAGGCATCTTCCAGTCTGGGCAGCCTTCCAGAGTCTTCCAGCATCCAAAGCGACAGCCTTGAATCTTTTGCCCGGCAGCAAGAAAGCCCGGTTAGTTTTCTCCAGGACAGCCTCAATCCTTGGGACAACAGGGACTCTTTGCGGCTTTACCCAGCTAATTTCCGGTCCATCTTCAGCCTCGGGGACAGTCTTGAGACTTCCAGTATCCAGCTGGACAGCCTGCAGTCGGTGGCCAGTTTAGGAGACAACACCCAGGCGTCCAGCATTGTCACCGATAGCCTTGAGTCCCCCTGCAGCTTGTCTGACAGCTTGGAGACACCCAACGCTCTGCACCATTGCTCTGGATCTTACAGTGTTTGACCGAAGCCTGTAGCAGATTCTTTCAGTCGGTTCTGCCATAGACTTACACGGATCGGACAAGGACTGTGGGAACCATCTTTTGGGCTTTTCATTCAGTGTTTCTTTCCTTCCTCGCTGACCTGATCCTTCTCCTGCACGTCTCGGCAAAAGACGGTTTCCGACAGCAGCAGCAGTGATGTCCACTCAAACTGTTTGCCCTCAGGGACAAAAAGTGCTGAGACCTCCCCAGCGGAGTTCCAACTGTCTCTCTGATCTGTACCAGAACATGGTCCAGGGCGAAGAAACCCAATTTGTGGAAAAAAAGAGGTGCCAACCGCTGCATAGCAGCAGCAGCGCCAGCCAGTTGACTTCCTGTCTTCCCGAGAAAGCTGAGCGTAGAGTTCCTCAGAGCACCACGGTTACAAGTTGTGACCCGCATCTCCGACCCATCATGCGCCGGCGGGCCAGGTCCTTGCCCAGTTCCCCAGAGAGAAAGCGTAGCGGGTTGACTCCCTGCCGTGTTCCGGGTTGCAAGACCCGCAAGAACCGTGTCAGGTTTGCAGATGCCTTGGGCCTGGAGCTGGCGGAAGTGAAAGTCTTCCAAGCCGGGGAAGACCCATCTATCCCTCTTCATGTTCTTTCTCGGCTGTCCATTAATTCGGATCTCTGTTGCAGCACGCTGGACCTGGAATTCACCATGCAGTGCCTGGTACCTGACTTCCAGCAGCCGGGAGATTGTGAAGACTTCCTCAGCCACCTGCAACAGCAGCAGGTGTGTTTGGAACGAGTGTCCAGCTCAGATCTGGGCCTGAATGGCACAATCAGAGTGATCAATTTATCCTTCGAGAAGCAGGTGGCTGTGCGTTACACTTTTAATCACTGGAAGAGCCAGCATGAAATAAATGCTCAGTGGCAGAGTAGTGCTGCTGGTCAAGATGGAGAGACCCAAGTGGACATTTTCACCTTCTTCCTTCCTATGCCTCCCTTCCTTCTTCAGCTTAGCTCAGTAATTGAGTTTGCAATCTTATACCGAGCCAACGGACAGGAACACTGGGATAACAATCAGGACAAGAATTACACCCTCACTTGTAGGAATCATCCGCTTAAGATGCCCAGAGAATGTGAAGAGAGCTGGATTCATTTCATCTAAAAGCAAAACAAAAGGCTTCTGCATTCGTTTGACCGTTTTTCTTTGCGCTGAGACACCAAAGAAACTCTTCGATGTGGCAAAGATCCTTCAGAATAAAAGAAATAACAAGCAATCTCCACAAAAGCTATTTTGAGAAGCCGTTGTTTTTCGTGAAGAAGAGAAGGATAAAAGGGGCCTTAATTTGCAGGGATTTGCACTAAATTCACTTGAAATGTGTGGGAATCATAGCCAAAAGGTGCAGTCAATAGAAGGAACCTATAATGTATTTTATTTCTTTGATCAATTCTTAGAATGCTCTGATTATGCAGTATTTTAAAGCATACAGTACTTGATGCTCTGTAGTTTTGCACTTCACTTTTTGCACTTTTTACAAAACTCTCTTTTGGTGGAACATAAGCATATTTCTGTTAATTTCTAGTAGGAAAAATGTTACACTTTTCTGCACTGGTCAAATGCTGCAGGGTTTGGGGGACAAAATTTAACTATTGAAATAAAAACGAAAATTTACACTGCAGTTTATATGACAGTGTTCTTATACATTTGGCATTAGTCCCTTAATACTCCTGTTTTAGAGGACTTTTTTTGTTATTAGAAGTGGAAATACAGTTTGCTTTTTGGAGAATTTCATTTTTTGATATTATTTTTGTTTTCTTTTAGCCTTCCAGGTCAGAGTCAAAGTAAGTTCATGCCACTATAGTTTAACGAACTACAGTATAACCCAATTACAGGGATGTTTGATGTAGACTACATAGACTGCAGCCAGTCATAGATTTTCTTACATTGGTTTGTTTCTAAGGAAGCCATGACTAGAGTGGAACACAAATGTAAGAAGTAGGCATCAAGAAACTACTTATTTTTTGTGCCTAGAAAACTTCATGGGTGTATCTATGTATATACTAAGAGTCACAGGCATTTTTACTTTTTTTATATATAATTAACAGAGGTCATCCTGAATCACACTTTTTTAAATATGAGACTGATTTGTTGACAGCTTGAGTGCCAGGATTTTCTTTAAGAAGAAATGAGAATGCTTCTTTGCATATATAATTAATATGGGTTATATTTTATCAGCCTTGGGCACTACAGTATAACCGCCTCGCTTCAGATCAAAACAACACAGAAATGTGTTACATTTCTATAGATCGTATGACATGTTGGCACTTTTGATGTCAAGTATTACCAACTCCTGGGATACAGCTACAGGTGCAGTTAAGGATTGAGTTCCATGTTGTTTCTGTCATCCTTTGCATGCATACATGTTTGGGAGATTGCTGTCACTGCTCTGGTTTGAGATGTCTGCATATGCCATTAAGTCTGTAAGGAATGCTTCTATTTATTCATCCTCCTTGGGAAGAGCTCCTGGTGATGTGGTAAAGTTAGCAATGAGTGGGGGTTGTGTATACTAAGCTAAGAATCATGTGTGCAAACAACTGATGAGAGATGAACTCGTGATTGCCAATGGACCTGAAAAGTAGAAACTTCTAAAATCAGAGGTCTAGTTTACATTCATTAGTTCAGGATGAATCACCTTGTGCAGTGAAGTACAATGGAATACAGTACAAGTCTTTCTGTTCTTAATCTCTTCCCTGCCCTTTTTTTAGTGGCATGATTTTGGAGTTCTGTAGCAAGCAACTTTAAACCTACCACCTATCATTGATCAATCTCTAAAAATGGGGCAGATAGAGATGGCAGCTCTACTCCATGTATGGCTTTCAAACTAATTTCTTGCAGACCCCCCAGATTAATTTCAAAACTTGCCGAAAGAGATTGGTTCAAACCAAAATATCAGAAGGAAAGCATGTTTGAGAAGTTAAGGAAATAGATCAGGGGTCTCCAAAGTTGGCCACTTTTTTTTTTTTTTAATTTGATTTATATGTCGCCCTTCTCCGGAGACCCAGGAGAACTCACTTTAAGACCTGTGGAGTTCGATCTCCAGAATTCCCCAGCCAGCATGGCTGGTCAAGGAATTCTAGGAGTTGAAGTGTCCGCAAGTCTTAAAATTTGCCAACTTTGGAAAGCCCTGAAATAAATGATCCCATCCATTTGGGGTTCTGACTGCATCTGCTTTTCGCTCTGGCATCATCCATTCAGTGGCTCTCAATAGATCGTCCAGGATATAGAATAACAGAATTGGAAGGGACCTTGGAGGTCTTCTAGTCCAACCTCCTGCTTAGGCAGGAAACCCTACACCACTTCAGACAAATGGTTATATATATGGTTGTTTATACAAGGTTTCCCAGCAGAGTTTCCTCTCCTTCCCTTCTATGTGCAAATTATATTCTTCCATCTTCCACCCTCTCCCCTCTCCAAGCATATGATTTGGGGTTTTGTTGTGGTTTTTTTTTTTGCTTTGTTTGCTCATGGTCTAGGGAAGGCTAATATACTTCGGTTTCTGATTTCCTGCATTTTGGACTGATACTGTGCCTTGAATAACCTTCGGGCTGCTATATCGCGGTACATTCCGGCCAGCATGCTTTGTATCTCAAAGGAACTGGAAGGGATCCCAGTTCCAGAGTAGAAACTCATGTCAGCCCTGTATCTGCTAATGGGAACTTCTATACAAGATGTCTCAAGGGACCATTCTTTTGAGTGGGGAAGTTCCTTTGAAATGCCTGAATAGTGGGTAATGGAAAAATCTATTTTCTTTGTGCCAAGCCAAGAAGTGTATTTAGATCTCTTGTTTATCAAATAGATAGAAAGGAGGCTGGGTGTTTCAAATAAATATCTAGTCTGTGGATTTCATTACAAATACAGTGCAGCAGATTTGTTTTTCAAACTTAGTTCCTTAGGTCGGTGGAAGGCAAGTTTCATAAAATTATAAAGAACACACACATTTTTGAGGTGGGGCCAGAGGGACCCCCTCACTTCCCTCAATAACCTAATATAAATGCCAGTAACTATAAAACAATGTTTCTTAGCCTTGCCAACTTTAAGATGGAGAGATTTCAACTCCCTTACTGCCCAGGGAATTCTGGGAGTTGAAATCCATCCATTTCAGTTGAGAAATGCTAACATAAAAAGTTAACTAGTTGTTTTGAGGAAGAGTGAAAATGGCCAGGGTGGCCATTGATCCCTACAGAAGTAATTTCTTTTCCTTGACATCATTTTGTTTTTTTCCTCCATCATCCTATCTTTACCATTACCTTTCCTGACTGAGAAACCTGAGACTTAGCCATAATGTATCTCGGAAGATATAAGGGACAGATCAATGACATGTGACTGCTAGGACAGATCATTGCAGTTTCTATACTTGTTTTTGAAGGTGGATAATTTTGCACACTCTACTTTTCTAAGCAATCAATTTCACTTCAGAAAAGGCATTGTGTAGAATTCTCTTTATCCTTATTTTTAAGGCTATAAAATAAAAAAAGTTTATGGTATGTTGTAGTACAGCTATAGTCCCAAGATGGTAAGAAAAATGTAATCTGAATTTGCAGCCTATGAACCAGCCTTGCTCAATCCTATGTCCTCTAAATCAGAAGGATTAAAATGTCTATAATTTGTCCATCGTGCCTGGCAATTAAAGGAATACAGCTCCAAACAAATCTGTCCTAAGCTTTTATTCAGAATTGTTTGAGATAAGCAATTTGTGGATTGTTGTCAGTACTCGAGCAGCCCCAATTTTTCTGCCAGCATCTGAATCTGTAGAATGTAAAAAGTCAGGCATAAAAAGTTGATGTATTTTAAATGAGGAAAAATCTTACTTTCTACAACATTCATTTGGGTTACACTGATGATCTGTAAACTCCTTAACAATTTGATCTCTTTCCTTTTTTGTGATTCATGTTGCCATATTTGCCCCTTTGTTTTTGAGTATTCTATCTAGTAGACTTGCTTTATTCTTTATTCTTTTGGGCATTTGTCAGAATTGGGAAACCAAACAAAAAGAATTAAGTACTGTGCTCTGTATTTTATATACAGATTTGGATCTTTTTGAGACAAATATGCTTTGCAGCCCATGTTGAAATTTAATATAGTTTTAAATTCTAATTGTATAAATAAGTTAAGTCCATATATATCATTGTGTTTTAGAAGTGTGACACAAATGATTATTACAGAATGACTAAATGTGCTACAGTTGCCAGCTTCTAGAAAGCAAACAGAAATTATTTTTTTGTAATCACAGTATTTTAATAATGAAATAAAGAAAAGTGATGAGTAGGCAGGCAGGAGGCATATTTTTCCAAATGTGTTGTATAATTACAGTCATTTAGGTGTCAGATTTTATATATATGTCTGTGTGTAATGTATGCTGTATGTATATTTCCCATCCTTTCATAATAAGTACCACAATGGATTTGAAATTTTCCAAGGGTATTTGGAAAATATATATACCACATACTGCTGCTTCTGGAGACAATACAGGTAGTCTTTGACTTCCAACCATTCATTTAGCACTGTTTGAAGTTACAACAGTGAAACAGTGAAAAAAGTGATTGAAGTCCGTTCCTCATACTTATGACCATTGTCCCCACAGTCATATAATCAAACTTCGGGTGATTGGCAATCAACATGTGTTTACAACAATTGCAACATCCTTGGATCAAATGATGGCCATTTGTGATCTTTTTAGCCAGCTTCCAACAAGCAAAGTCAACAGGGGAAGTTGATTATTTGCTTAATAACCACATGATTCACTTAACAACTCAGCGAATCAATAATCACAAAAAAAGGTAAAATTGGGAGCAGCCTCACTTAGCAAATTGAAAATTGGAAACCGCCTCATTTAGCAATGGAAATTCTGGTTCCAAGTGGTTGTAAATTAAGGACTACCTGTATTCCAGGCTTCTTACCACTTTTGCTTTTCAAAAAAACCTGCTTTCACTTTCTTTAGCCTCTTTGCATCCTTTTATGTCGGTCTCAGAACCAGTCCTGGGTCTCTTTGAGTTATAAATATCCTGTAATCTGGAGATGCACTGTTCCTTGTAGCAGATCTGTTTACCTTCCAGCTCATCGGGACAGAGAATTATAGGCAGGATCCAAAACTGTAACACTAGACTAGTGATGCAAATAAAAATCTATCGCTTGCCTTCCTGAATCAAGGCCAAGTGTTTTTGGTCCAGCATTCTACATCCAACGATACCCTACCAGCCTCTGGAAGTGAAATCTCATCAGCTTGGCATGAAG